ATATTTATTTTTAATCTTACGTCTTATCAATGAGTAGTAATCATTTAATATAATGTCACTTAATTGTTATAAATTTGTTGTATTTAGACATAGATAAATCTACTTTAGAATTAAAATTAATATTAATATCTTAATCTTTAATATTTTATGTTAATGTAATATATTGCTATATACTTAACATAAAGAAAATTTTGCAATCCTTCACGCTGATAACATAATGGTGTCAATCAAAGAACCTTGCTCTTAAAAGTTGGTATTATACGATAAATTGGCAGTAAAATGATATAGGGTTATTTAGTGGAAAAAAAAGAAAGAAAAAAACTACTATTTGCTTCCTCATTTATATATATATATTTTCTCATAATTATTAATTTAAGTAAAAGGAGATAAAACATGTGGATTATATTATTTATAAATTATTAAGTATTAAGAATTATACGTTTACACTCTAATGACATCAAAACATTACCTATATATCGTAAGAAGTTATACCCAATAATTTAACTTGCAAGTTTTAACACTAACTGTAAATGTAACTAGCACATAACACAAATCACATTATATATATATATATATATACAATATATAAAACACATTCTTATTTCGTAATTGTAACCTAAAGGTAAGAAAAATATTTAAAATGTAGTAGTAAGATTAATACGATTTGTTACTTAAGTATTGGAAACACTCATGATCGCAAAAGTTTCAAGAGAAATATCTATCCGTAAATGAATAAAGAAAAAAAGAGAAAAAATAAGAAAAAAAATATATATATAAAAAGAAAAGAAAAAGACAATAAATAAGACGAGGGTATTGAAGAATAGGAAATACATCCCTGAACTAGTGCGTTGCGATTCGTCAGTTGTAGCGTTCGGGTTAGGTGGGGATAGGAGGGGAGAAGAGCAGGTTGAGGAGGCGGGGGTACTACTTTACGCCGAGGAGGAGAGCGTGCAAATGCGTCTCGCGGTCGAGGATCAACCAAGAGAAAATGAATAGTAAAATGGTTATTGCCACGCTATGACCAGAAAAAAATAAATCTTTGTTAACGTGAGTGAACAACGATGGATTCGTCGCACGAAATGGATCCAAGTGTATCGAGAAACGAGGCAGCTATAAGATCAGGTAAAGATTGAAATGTGATAAGGTAGCATAACTGTCGGCAAAGCCGCCTGCCTAAGAGCTCTGTTGGGTATTCTTTGTATGTGTGTTTGTGTGTGTATAGCTTCCCCTCTAATCGTGTTCGCGTTCCTTCCTTTATTTCAGAGCTGTACTTCTTAATAGCGAAATTTCTAGCATCGGGGCCATGTCAAGAGACTGCCACTGTGAGTATTATAATGAAATAAAATAATGTTTTGTCGTAGGACGCTATCAACTTAACTGACGAAAATGTATGTTTGTTTCAGACGCTTAAGCGCGAATTGGAGCGTGCGAAGGTAAGTAGAGATTGGTCCGTAGTTGACGTTTGCCGGACAGACACTATACATAGCGATCGTATCCCACATGGTTTGCACGTGGTTTCTGCTTGTCAAAACATTAGAATTCTGGGGTCGATGATCTCTTTAATACTACTTTATTAATTATTTATCACGTGGGAAACGCATCAAACGATCGAACGATCGATCCTTGTATACTTTTTTTTTGTTTCTTTTTTACAGGTATTGCCGGAAAGAATCGATTGGGAGGGAAATTCCCATAGTCAAAATTTCGAAGAACTTGTAAGTTTGTTGGCATTACGATGTTTATTTTCTTTTGTAATTGGGTCGTGGTTTTACCTCTGATCGAGAAGTTATAAAGTCTAGATTTGAGGTTACCGCGTCATCCTATATCCTCGCGCTTAATTCTCCATTTTCAAATCGTTGCCCGAAATATTATTCAAAGTACTATGTGCATCCCTTTCCAAGGGGCACAATCCCCTTTTCCATCCCACTCCTCTTCCATTCTTCTAGAGTTAGCGTCGCCATTGCGGAAGATTCTCCCCACTCCTTAGTTCTCTCTGCCAATGGTCGCTTGCTTTGAGCCATCTTGCGTGAGCTGATCAATGAATATACGTGCCTACGGCTTATTTATAGAACCTGATCTCGTGCACAACGAGTTCTACACCAAGATTGGATGTCTTCCTTCTTTCGACCTCTCATTGGTTAAAATCAGGCACTACTTTACTATTTATTTTAAATATTAGCGGGAACTTATAGCATATTGTATTTTTTCAAATCGATCATCCGTTTTCATTAAACAATCAGTTCATTACTTAATCGATAATTTTTTTATTCTTTATTCTTTATTTAAATTAATATTTATAATATGCTTTTTATTAAATATTTATGATATGCTTTTTTTCTTTTATTTGTATAAAGAAGAAATATTTTCTTATTTCCTAATAATGATAAAAATTTAATTCTTAATACGATTATTATCAACAGGAGAATAAATATTCTCACATAGGACCAGAATACTTGCTACAAATATGTGCAAGAATAGGTCCGATTTTAGAAAAAGAGGTACCACCATGTATTCCAGGAATTGTATCATTACTAGGAGCTGGCCGACAATCTTTACTACGTATACACGAAGGTATATATTTATTTTAGTTACATATAATATTTCAAAATATAAAAAATTTTGTATTAGAAAATAAAATTTTTATTGCATACACAGATCAATCTCGTCGAATACGTGGTATTTCTGCTTGCTCTGGAAGGTTCGGAGGAAAACCTTTTATGGATCTTCCTAATAATTTAACGGGGAATAATATAGGTAAATAATGAAACTATTAATCATATATTTCATATATTATATTAATTAAAATGTAAACGTATAAATTTATATATATATTTTCTTATTTTTTGATAATATTTTATAACATGCATATTATTTTTTTTTATTAGTGCGTATTATTCAAGCAAGGGAAAACTCAGGTCCTTTAAGTCGTAGAGAAGCTATACCAACCAAATTTTATAGTAAAATGCAACTTTATCGACATACATTAGGACATTTGTCAGCAGTTTATTGCGTTTTGTATGATCGAACAGGAAAATATATTGTTACTGGTGCAGATGATTTACTTGTTAAAGTATGGAGCTCTGTAGATGGCCGACTATTAGCTACATTTCGAGGTGTTTCAGCTGAGATAATGGATATAGCCATAAACTTTGATAACACCTTACTAGCTGCTGGAAGCTTAGATCGGATACTTAGAGTTTGGTGTTTCCAAACTATGTCCCCTGTATGTAATATATAATAATTACTTGCTAGACAAATTTTTTTTATAATATTAATTAATTCTTATTCATATACTATAATTATTTTGTCTTTTATTTATAAATTCAAATTAATATTTTAAGGTGGCTGTTTTGTCCGGACATTCTGGTATGATAACATCTATAAATTTTTGTCCTATTGCTTGCAATGGTGTTTATTATATGGTATCCACAAGTACGGATGGTTCTGTTGCATTTTGGTCTCATACGAAGCAACCGAATGAGAGGGTGGTATTTCAGTAAGTTAATAATTATATTTAGTAGATTAATTATTAATTAGTAAAATCAAAGATGATTTAAATATGAATAATATAATTATAGACCTAAACCGATCCAGTATCATGAAAAAATGAGACCTGGCCAAGCTCAAATGATATGTGCATCATTCAGTCCTGGTGGTTCATTTGTGGCTGCTGGCTCTGCAGATCACCATGTGAGAGTTTACATGATGTCAGGTGAAGAAGGACCGCGTAGAGTTTTAGAAGTTGAAGCACATTCTGATACAGTTGATAGTATTCAGTGGGCTCACCAGGGTTTAAGATTTATTTCTGGATCTAAAGATGGTACTGCGAATGTATGGCATTTTGAACAACAACAGTGGGTCCATAAACGCCTTCTTATGACCACAAGACTCCCTGGGTTTGTAAAAAATAAGAAAAATATTTTCAATATAGCTCACACACATACATTATATATCTATATTTTATTTAAAATTTAATTTTCTAGAGAGCCAGAAACAGACGACGATTCCAATAAAAAAACTAAAGTTACTATGGTTTGTTGGGACGTAAGTGACGAATGGGTAATTACAGCTGTAAATGATAGTTCATTGAAAGTGTGGAACTCAAAGTCAGGAGAATTAATAAAAGTCCTTCGTCGTCATAAAGATGAGGTGTTTGTATTGGAATCTCATCCGATAGATCCTCGTGTTATATTAAGTGCTGGTCATGACGGACAGCTTATTATTTGGGATGTTTTAAATTCTGAACCAGTGGCTTGTTTTCAAAATTTTATTGAAGGACAAGGAAATGGTGCCGTGTTTGATGCAAAGTGGTCTCCCGATGGAACAATGATTGCTGCTACCGATTCTCATGGTCACCTTTTAATGTATGGATTTGGATCTGGGGTCGAAAAACTTAAAATAGTAAGTCTTTTGTTTATAATATAAAGAAATGATGCATTTTTATAATGCTAAACAATTGAATCATGTAATACTTTGTAATAATATCCATTATAAACAAAATAAAAAATAATATAATTACAGGTACCGAAAGAACTTTTTTTTCATACAGACTATAGACCATTAATTAGGGATTCAAATAATTATGTTTTGGATGAACAAACGCAAACAGCTCCTCATTTGATGCCACCTCCATTCCTCGTTGATGTAGATGGTAATCCATACCCTCCGGCATTACAAAGATTAGTACCAGGTAGAGAAAATTGTCGGGGAGAGCAATTAGTACCTAATATAGCCGTTGGTGCTGGAGGTAAAATAATTGCATCTCTATTATTCTATTATTTATGTGTATTTTTATAAAAATACGAGATTTCATGTTTTTATATGTAATTAGGAATGCAAGAGGTAATAGAGGGTCTTCCCGTGCAAGAACCAAGATCCAATATTGACAGATTGATAGAAGCTCTTGCACAGAGACAAAATATTGGTGCGGATGGCGAATTACCTGTTAATGATAGAGAAGGTGAAAATATTGGAGAACAACCAATTCGTCAAATTGCTAGTCCACGTGGTAGTAGACCAGGTTTAAGGAGAGTCGGTGATGTCGAAGGTGTTAGACAAAGTAGTGGTAATTGGCAAAGAGATAACTACACATCTTGGAATAAACCACTTCTTGCTAAACCTATGAGTCAAGCTCTTAAAGAAACGCGATATAATGCGCTGTATGTTTATATGTTAATTATTTCTTATAACGAATAAGCATTTTTCCAAATGAACAATTTTTTACAGATCTTTTTAATATTTATAGTTGTGCAATGGCAGATATGGAGTTAGAAATTTGGAGGCGAGAAATGCGAAGCAGACCTCAACCTGCTTTGAACGCTACAGCTGTTCAAGATAGTATAGGAAGTAAAGTAGTTAATAGAAAACGTAATAGATGTGCTAGACATGGATATAGAACTAGAGCAGCACGTGATGAAGAACGAGAAGACGAAGAATTCGAAGTATTTTAAAATATTATTAATTTGTCGCACATTTATTTTTTTAATCTTTATTTTTATACTATATTGCTATTATTTATTTATAGAATCCTGAAAATGGAGGAACTACAGGTAGCTCAGCTAGTAGTAATACGAATGATTCTACCGCAAATGAAGAAGATTTGTGTTCAGATAGCTCCACTTCTGAATGTAGTACACAATATTCAGATTGGATTGCAGATCATGGTTTAAATCTTGAACCACCTAAACGTAGTAAACGTAAGCCTATTAAGAAAAGGTCTCTTACTCCACCAAGTGATATAGAGAGAAGACGTAATAAAAGTCGTACAGCAAAGGTAAACTTTCTTATTATTTTATTTTCTTATTTAACCGAATATTTTTACGTATCTATTGCATTTTTGTTAATCCGTGTATTAATTTCTTTTATCAGAAAGCATATATTTATAGTGAAGATATTGATGAAGTTCCTGAAGTTCTACGACCTCCTGAATGGCTTACCGAAGTAGTACCACGTAAAGCTCCATATTATCCACAAATGGGTGACGAAATAGTATATTTTCGTCAGGGTCACCAATTTTATTTAGATGCTGTTAGAAATAAAAAAGTTTATGAACTTGGTTTAAATAGTGAACCATGGGCTAAAGTGCACATAAGGGTGAGAATGATATATTCTAATATTATATTTTATAAAAATATAATTTTTTTATATAACGTATTAAAATTATTTAAGGCACAAGAATTTGTGAAAGTTGTTGGTATAAAGTACATAATACGTCCACCTCGACTTTGTTGTTTGAAACTTGCGTTAATGGATGAAGAAGGACGATTTACAGGAGAAAATTTTACAATTAAATATCACGATATGCCAGACGTTTTGGACTTTTTAGTTTTACGTCAAACATTCGACATAGCATTGGCTCGCAGCTGGTCTGAAGGTGATAGATTTCGATGTATGATCGATGATGGATGGTGGATGGGACAAATCCAATCTATGGAACCATTAGATGATGATTTTCCTGAATCATTTTTTATGTGTTTCCGTGTACGTTGGGATAATGGAGAATATGAACGAATGAGTCCATGGGATCTTGAACCAATTGATGGAGACAGTATGTTCATTATTTAAAAAATATATTAGATATTAATTGTAATTTTTTTTTTAGAATATTTCTATAAATATGATCTATGAAATTTAAATAAAATTGTATTTAAGGATTACCCGCAGAAATCGGAGGAGCAGTTCCTGTACTTCCAGAGGAGATACAAGCTATATTATATCAACCTACTCCAGAAGAATGGCCAATGGGTGATAGAGATGCGACATGTCGTAGAATTATAAGAGGCCTTGACCAAGTAATGAGCCTTGCGATAGCAGAACCTTTTGTGGCACCAGTAGATCTCAATGTGTATCCTGGTTATGCATTTGTTGTACAATATCCCATCGATTTATCAACTATAAAAGCTCGTTTTGAAAATCATTTTTATCGAAGAATTACATCTGCCCAGTTTGATATTAGATATTTGGCAACAAATGCTGAGATATTTAATAAACCTCATAGTGGGATAGTGAAATGGTCAAGGATAATAACTGATTTATGCTTACGTATAATAAAGTAAGTATTGGAATTTATTATTATCAAGCATGTAACAATGCAGCATTGATAATATATTGAATACATTAATTTTATTTTTATTTTTATACAGAGAAACTACGGAGCTAGATGTACCCGCAGTATATCATCAATTAGCTGATACATATTGCTCTTCAGAATCTGATGCAGATGCTGCTGTAAAAGATAAACCTTCAACGAGTACACAAAAATTAACTACCAGTCGAAATCTTCGATCGCAAGAAATGTCACAGAATTGGACATTGGCATGTAGACAATTATTGGATACTTTATGGCAGTGCGAGGATTCAATTCCTTTCAGGTATATCATATTAATAGTCTTGATTGTTTTAAAATATATGCGTTTTAATATTATTCATATTTTTTATAGAGAGCCAGTTGATAGATTAGAACATCCAGATTATCATCAAATAATAGATACACCAATGGATTTACGCACAGTAAAAGAAGACTTGTTAGGAGGAAACTATGAAACACCTTTAGAATTTTCTAAAGATATGAAGTTAATATTTACGAATAGTAGAAATTATAATACCAACAAACGTTCAAGAGTAAGTAAAACCGAAAAAATGAAAGAAAAAAACAGAAAACTTTCAAATAAATTCTTATCATTTTTAGAAAGATTTGCTTTTATATTTATTATTATCTATAGATATTCTCTATGACAATAAGATTATCAGCAATGTTTGAAGAACACATGCGTAAAATTATTTCTAATTGGAAGTCGGCAAGAAGACGTAATAATAATACAAAAGTAAATGTCAAAACGAAAGTACAGAAACGAAAGCAACGTTTAACAAATGGGACTGGTAATTTCTATTTTCTAAAAAGTTTGAACCCATAAAATTATATGTTTATTATATATAAATTAGTATCTTTTTTTTAAATATTATTTTATATAAGACAATATATATAAATTATTGTCTGTCAATATTGGTATTAAATAATTTTTGTTATTTAATAGGACCATCCAAAAAAAAGATTACTTGTACCGAAGATGAGGATATGATTACAGAAGATGAAGAACCAGTTGTGCAGCAGAAAAAGAAGCCTGCTAATTTACACGAACCAGGTATATACACATATAAGATTTTATTATACAGTAATCTTTCGATTTATGCGAGCATTTGGTTTCACGAATACAGCTGCAAGTAAGTTACGTAATTACGAAAATAAATTACACTGGCGAATCCTCGAATTTGTATTTTCACATAACGTATTATTATGATATCGAGGCTTCGGTAACTCAAGCGCGTTAAAATGAATTCACGTAAATGGAAGGATTATTGAATATAAATCTATTTCTAAAAAAGTTAAATTATAATTAACTTTTCAATTTAAATTAATCTTTATTTTCTTCTAGGTCCATCCCGAATAACTAATGGTGCTCCAAAACATGCAGGTAGTTCAACACGTTCGATGTTAAAATTGAGAATTCCTAGATCGATAGTGCAAAGAAAAATTAAAAAAAGTGATAGTGAATGTAGTGAATCCGAAGCATCGATGGAAAGTGATAGTAGTCATGGTCCTCCTGTTAGACGAACTAGAGCAAGGAAAGCAGTAAGCAGTGAGAGTACAGACAATGATTCTGGAGAAGTTTATACTCCTGGTGGTCGTGGAAAACAAACTCGTAAAATTCGTAGTAAAAATAGTAAAAATAATAGACAAGTTAAATCTAATTCTAAACAGTTTGTTATTCCTGATGATGATGCAGAAGATGATGCAGAGGATCAAGATCAGTTTGTTTCTGAATCTTCAGAAGAAGAAAGTGAAGAAGAAGTAATTCAGAAGAGTAATACAAGATCGCGAAAGTTGCCAAATGCAGCAGCTTCAAAACATACTGCAAATAATAGAAAAAATAATGTTTCTGAAAGTCGTTCTGATGATGAAGAAGAAGAAGAAGAGGAAGAGGAGGAAGAAGAAGAAGAGGAGGAAGAGGAACAATTGCAACATGGTACTAACAATGAAGATTCGGATAGCGATGATACAGAAGAAGTTGTGGAGCCCTCAACATCTCAAAGAAAATCACGAACATCTAGAGAATCTAATCATCAACATGTATTATCTAATTCTCGGAGAAGTAAAAAGCGTGCACGTTATAACGAAGACAGTGATGCAAGTAGTGCATTACCAGTGAGAAATAGACGTAAAATCAAACGACGCGATTATGCTGAAGATGAAAGTGATGATGATAGTATACCAGAACCTGGAATAAGCATAAGTAGTAGAGGCCGAGTGAGGAAAATGACAGCTCGTGCACGTGCTTTTCTTTTAGAATGACCTTAACAGCAGCATTCTAGTAATGTATCATTTAGATAAAAATTATCGATTTACGAGTAAATAAAAGAAGAAGAAAAATAAATTTGACCTGATGACATTGAAGATAGAGTGTAATCATAATGGACAAATAACACTCTAGATAAAAAACACTTAGATAAATGCCAGATGTTTAGCCTGAGAAAATTTCAGGATATTCTTATGCAAAAAAGTGTGTATACTTGAAACTATTAACAGCAATATGAGTTTAATACTCCTGCAACAATGTACTTCCATTATTATGAGATAGAGAAAATAAAGGTATTTTTTAACGTTTAAGTGCAAATGTAAAAAGACTATCAAGAGAAAGAATTTGAAGCAAAGTGAAAGAACATTAATCCGCCCTATAATACTCTTATCATGTCAATATTATTTAATGACATTTGAAGAATCAATTGAAAAAAGACAGTTAAAGATTTTAAAAGTGTGAGTGATCATATTTTTGAATATGTTATTTGTTTATCTCTTAAGCATATAAAATTAAATAATAATTTTTATTCTCAGTATAAAAATTTATTTTATGTTTGCTATTTACTGGATTACTAAAAACTTTAAGCAGTTTGTTATTGATTCTATATCAACATTTATAATCCGTATAAAAGCATTTCGATTCTATTGGTTACATTTTAATTGCACGTTAAAAAATAGTTAACAAAAAATAGCAACAAGAATAAGTAACTTAAAAATATTAGTTTTTATTAAGAGATATATTTTATCTTGGCCAATAAAATATTCCATGCTGTTATAAAACTAATATAGCTTTATTTTGCCAAAAATTATTTTCATTTATACGAATTATTAAGAAAATAAACAATTCACTTGTTTAAATACACAGAAGTACCTTTGTGAAATCATTAATGATCACACTTTTGTCAATATATATAAATTTAATTTTTGAATATATGTATATTATATTAGTTTATTTAATACTTAGATTATATTAGTGATTATATATATATATATATATATATACACCTATGATGTTTTACGCAAACAGTAACAGTTGTTACTACCATCGAATTTAATGTATCCGTAAATGTTACATTTTGTAAATAACGATGTCACAGGCTTTTCTAAATATTTTGCAGAAACATCGTTAAAATTAGAGAAAAATATAAAATTTTTATGGTAGTCTTAATACATAATAGATTTCTAAGATGCATAGTTTGTATGTTTATTGATAAAGAATCCTAAAAAAAGTTTTTTAAAAAATTGTATGTTACGATTAGAAAACTATTCATCCGATTAATGTAATATTTAACAAAATTTTCTTTATAAATACAAATATTTAATTAATAATCATCCTAAAGCAATTTAAAATCAGAAGACAAGAATGACAGGATTAACATTTGTTTACCAAATAAGTTGTGTAAAAAAGAATTAAATAGAATAAGGAAATGTTAATCTGTCAATAATTATGTCATCTGTATTTAAACTTACGGAGGTACTAAGTAAAGGTAATTTAATTTACTGAATTAAGTTATTCATACTTATTCTAACTCTGATAAAAAAAATTCTTACTCTTAGAGATTCTGTACATTATATTAAATAAGGCAGTGCCTTTACAAACCCTAACACTTATTTTGAAGATACCTGTGCTACTTATTCTAATTGTAAGATATATGTATCAATTAGAATTATTGTAAGTAATCATTTAGTTAGGAATATTTCATTACTGACAGTGATAATATATAAAATACTTGAATATGTAAAATTGTACAAACATTTTGAAGTAGAACTAATTTTTTAAAAATTACTATAAAATATAATTGTATGTTATATATTATATAATTATGCAATTATATATTATATAATTATATATCTATACTCTGTTATGAAAGTGTTACCTTTACATGCAGTTTATATATTTCTTACTGCATATTATAAATCACTGATTGTGCATTTTTTATTCATGCAACTAAATGGTATGTTTTGAATTTTAAAAGATTAGAAAATTCAAAAATATTTTAAGTAATTCTATAATAGATTACCAAGGCAGTTGCATAGATTAAGTAAGCATAGATTAAGATCACATGCACAAATCTGAAAATCTTGACTGTCTCGAGCAATTGTGATATTAGTATAAGACTATAAAATATATAATATTATAAATATTCGTAATTAGGATAATGAATATTTTTTTAATGAAGTCTTAACTTAAGAACAAATATCATATAAGCTCAATGAATTACTAAATCTTTGCCATCAATTATATCTTTTGTTATTTCTTTGATTATATCGAGTAATATGCTTCATATCTTAACGTTCAGAATTATTATTATTCAATGTATATGCTTTTTTGCGTTGGGTTATAGGATTTCATAAATAATGCAACAATAATAGTTTGTTTTTATATTGATGTAAAATATTCTATATATTGTTGCATATTGATATCATTTTCATGGATTCCCACCGCGACTAATAAAAATTACACAGAATTCTTTAATATTTATATTTGTTTATTTTCCTAGACCACATCTATATTCCTCTTACCTATATAATTCTCTTGAAACATAATATTTCAAATATCGTCTCGTTTAAAAATAAATTCTTATTATTTTACGATACCGCAACTATATATATAGTAACATTAACATATTCGAAAAAGATAATTCTAATGAACGAACGATAAAGCTTTATCTATACAAATTATATTCTAAAGATAACTTATTTTAAAGCAAAAAATTATAAAAAAAGTTTCATTTTTTTGTCATCTATTATAACAAACAACCATTAGCTTAACACTACTTGCGACGAAATTATGTAAGACATAATGTACATTGCATTGACAAAAATATCGATTTCCCAGGTCTCACTACTTAAAGGTTGCCGTTTCTGGAAGATAACAAACGAAATTTTCATATTTTAATATTCAATACATCACAATGTTATATTTATGTTACAAAGTTAATACAAATCCATAATTTAAGAGCATAAAAATCATGAAAAATTCTAATAATTATAATCATTATCAAATAGAAACTAATATTGTATTTCAAATTTTCCCTCCAAATATTTAAAAATTACGCGCGAAAAAATATATTTATAAATCAAATACTTACTTGTGTTTTAATAATCGAAAAATAAAATAATTTGTTTAAATTTGTATATACAAATAAGTATTTAATAATAATTAATATTTGTAATGAAATTTAAATTTTAATTAATTAAATAGGATTTAATCTTAGCCGAGACTTTCCTGAAAATTTCGCACAATATTTAAAAACGTATTATAAGCGGAGATGTCAGATTTTGAAATATGTGATGAAAGAACAAAAGATTTAGATAATAAATATATATTTAGACATTAGTGGTTTATATAAATTCTGAAAAGAGTTAGTTCGCTGACTTATGTATATCATTTCTTGTTACGGAGCCTAATAAGCATGGAATATGATAAAGAAATCAGTTCAAGCGAAGATGAGTTCGATTTTTCGTCGATGAAATGGTCGGTCATTCTATTTCGTATATAGTACCCGGCTTATGGATCGGGAATAAGATTTGTTCAGGAACAGATTTTGTCAAATACATATAATTAACCCTTCTGAGCAACCTACCTTCAGAAAATAATTAGCACATATTTCTCGCCTTGCTTTTATTTACTGTGCTACTATTTTTTTGTTTATCTGCACATTTCTTATATGATGCCATTTTTTAATCACCGATAACGTAACGCCAGGCGATGAAAATTAAATATTTTAGAATTACTGAATATATATATATTACTTGGATTATTATTAATTTTTCATGTTTTATATTGAAATATTAATAGTGGTATAAATAATATAATAAAAAAAATTTGCGGCAAGCGTTTATTGGATGAAATAAGATACCATCATTAATATTAATAGGACTATTTTGTTCTAATCTAATCAATTCTTCGCTTTTTTAATAAGTATTTAAATAAATATGCATTTCATTTTTACGATTTTAATATCGCTTTTAACAAGAATATTACGTAACTAACATCGCGGAAATAACAAAAAAAGAAATATTTATATATATATGTATGTATATACGTAATAAAATATAATAAATTAGAGACAATAAAAATAAATATAAGCACATACGTATATGTAAGCAATACAATTGAAATTTTGGATCAATTGTTTAGTAGTTAATATAAATTAGGGATATACAAGGCTTTATTACAACTAATAGTGCTAGAAAAATAAATAACAATAAAACCATGTTTATATACATAAAATACACGTCAATAAGCACAAAAGAGAAGAGAAAGAAAAATTGATAATAATAAAAAAAGGGTTTATCGAAATTGGAAAAAATAAAGCATCAAATTTCAATACTTTTTCTTACATAAATAATATTACATGACTACATTTGCAATTTTGACTGGATCATTCTTTTGTGTGTGTGTTTACAGTCAAAACAGATCATCGTGCGATTCTTTTTTTTTTTTATAACATGTCACTTTGGTTACAATAATCAAATCGCATGGGTATTTTTAATTATATTTAACTAATAGTAGAATTGTTTAATTTATGTATCATTGTACTTTCATTCAAAAGTAACCCGTTTGACTCCGTTTACTTATTTATTTATTTATTTTATCTTTTTCCAAGAAGAAGAAGAAGAAGAATATACGATCTTTCCATATAATGCAGCAGCAATTGTACTTTGTACGAGATGGTTACATAAAGAAAAATAGTTATTTTCGCGCTTGTGTGTGTCTGTGTATCTTTTTCTTATTTTCTTTTTCCTTTTTAAATTGTTTCAGATAAAATTTAATTGTATACTTCGTGGTATCGAAGTAGTCATATTTAATTCGCATATTATTCGCTAAATTATAGAAAAGCCTATAGTGTATTGTTGTTTTTTCATTTTTATTTGGACTTTGAAATTGAATAATCGAATACATATTTGAATCAATTTGCTACATTCGATATTTTTTGTTATTTGTTCGCTATAATGTGAAATAATAATCAGTCGATTTTGAAATTATGTTACACAGTAATAATAATAATAATAGTAATAATAATAATCATAATAATAATATGGAATGTCCGTTAAGCTCGCTAGTATAATAATCTTGAAATCTCAATGTAAAAATTTTTCAAGCGCGAGCGATAATTACAATGCAATAATCTTGCATTTCTTTTTATTTACAGTTTACAAACGTTTTCTAATCAAGAGAAACGAAATTTTATTATGAAACGTGCCATTAAACGAATATTCTTATCGGTTTTATGTCCGTTCTTTTAACGGACATAACATCGGATGATCATATTTTTCTTTTTCTTTTCTTTATTGTTTTTTTTTCTTCATTGATGAACTTTCGCGATTTTATAAATACTCCCCAAATATATTCCATTAACTTAAATAAAATATGAAACCATTTTTGTACGATAGAAATATCGATAATTTGTTTTCATTTCGAACGAAGAACATTATAAGATAAAATAAAATTAGTTCTCGATAGTAACGACCATTTGTAAACGAGAAGAATAAAAAATAACTTAAAAAAAGAAAAAAAAAAGAAAAAATAGAAAATAATATATATTCCGATACTCTTTTTTAAAGAGCCCCCGATCGACGTTCAATAATTATGCATTCTATTTTTGTAATTATCGTTGCCAATTTTGGCTGATATATTATAAACTTTTGTAACGATTTAACATATTTCTATGGAGAAAAAAGAGCCCCAAATTCTATTTTGACTATAAATTTTTGTAACTATGGACGTTTTATTTTTTTTCAATTTATATAAAATTCGTCAAGATAGATTTAACAATGTAATTACTTAAGGTAGTTTAGGTTTCAACAATTAAAATCTTCTATGAAGAATAATTGCTCCTAAGTTTGGACCAAACGAGACACATCATCCTAACAATTAAATTTGAGGTGAGGCGAAGTGGTCTCACTTAGTTAATCACATTTCGATCGTTAAACCCTAAGAAGATATATCTGAATAAGGTGGGTGTATGTGTGTGTATGTGTATGTGTGTGTGTCGCATAGGCACGCGCGCGCACGTGCATCGCGACAAATATAGAATAAACTTGTTTTTTTTTTTCTTGTGTACAAGTTTATAAACGACTTAATGCGATCAATGGTCGTTAAACTTATCGAATCGTAGGAAGGAAACTACCAAATCAGATTTGGCCGTCTACATCTACTTGATATCGAAGCGTAAGATATTGAGCAACATCGGTCATCCTGTTGATACTACGATGAAGTCCCCGTAAATGATGTTTGAAGTTGTTGGCAAATGAATTAGCTAGATCGATACACTCCTCGTTCTCAAGACTGGAATCATTTTCAACTCCAATTTCGGACTCGGAATCGGATGATAGAGAAGATGCGATAGAGGATGCGCTTTGTATACTTTGCATCGATGTAGTACTTGGACAACGTGCGTGTCCCAATCTGTTAGCAGTTTCTGTGCTAGTTTGATAAGCTAGAACTGATTTATCGGCATCCTCATCTTCTCGGGGTTGTACGCGATCCTCCTTAGACCAAAGTAATTCGACTTTCATTTGATTGACGATGTGATACAAACGATACAAATCCGTATTGGCTAACGTTTCCTTAACGTTATTACCAGCTTTCAAACGAATCGTATCACCAGCATCACCTACTGTCAAATCCAACAGTCTTCTTGGTATTAAGATCGTTTCTTCCATTTCGCTGACAGTTTTGACGAATCTTTCCATGCTGTTCAAAATGCTGGCGCAACTGAACTCTGGCTCGTCATGTCGTGCGATTCTACGAAGACTCGTCCTATAACACGTAACATTATTATCCCATTACTTACTTTCATCTTTGCTTTTCAAAGGGAGCAACGCTCAGCGTAATTTAACTCGCACACATCCTCCACACCCATGCACATACCACACATACACGCGTGATAAAGATCTTAAAATTGAATGATATTCTACCACCACAGCCAATGAAGATCATTCTTTTTTTTTTTAAAGAGGGAGAAAGAGAGAAATATTATCAAAGAAAAATAATACACATACTGCCTGTGCAACATTTTAAATTCTTGCTCTTAGATGCACACGAATGTTAATAATTTCTCTAAGTTATAATACTAATAAAATATACTACTAATGTACTATTACTATCGTTGAACAATTGAAATCGCAAAAATCGACTTTAATTTCAAGCAATGCGTGTCGTGTTTCTCCGAACGTTAAAAGCGAATAACTCAGTTACCCGATGGAAGAGCATTAACTTTCTTTCATGTAAACATATACATATGTAACACACGCATAATTATTTGATTCATAAATATTTAAAACATATTTAAATGAACATTTGTCTTTATTTATCCCACGCTCCTTATTAATATTCATTGTTAAACTATATAAATTATTGTTTCTACCGTTGGACTTGAGAATGTATAAGGAACTCGACAACAGACATATTGTATGATAATTCAATTGGCAAAACATTTTTCTAAATTTTCCTACGAATTGCGTATTTAATCGAAACTGTGGAAAGGGGAAAAGAATGTGAGAGAGACAAGGGGTAGGTAGGAAGTAAGGAACAGCTATTGACGATATATAGTGTATAGGTTGCGTGTTCCGGAGTCACCTTTGACCGAAGTTCACGCCTTTCACGAATATAAGCGAATGTCATCGGTCGTAGTTTTTAAAACTGATGTTCTTTTTTATCTCTTACATAATGAATCGATATATCGACTAGTACTCTTTTACATATGTTAAATAAATATATATCATAATAAGTATATACGTAGATATGAAAGCTCGAATTACATTCCTACGATCTATCTGTCTCTATCCTTTTTTGTACTTGATCGACTTTGACCTTGTTCTTTCTTCGTCTAAATATTAAATGAGAATTTCACTTGTCGCCTATTACCAAGAATTTCATATTCCTAGTAGTAGTATTAGATGAGTTGCTATTTTTTACTTTACATATTTTGCGACGTATTTCATCATCGTCATCACCATCATCATCATCATTATAATATATCTTTCTCTCTCTATTTTTCTCATGTTGAAGTAGTAACTCAAGGATACATTTAAGGAAATAATTTGGCTGTCGAATAGCGCTATAAATATTCGAGTCTAAAGGAAGTATGTATATAAGAGCGATGGTGGTATGAATACATGCATGTATGTACATACGCAGTAGTATAGTAGTGTAGTAGTAGTAATGTAGTAGTAGTAGAAGGGATCGTATGATTCTCTTATGAGGACATGTGCACCCGTTATCGCTTCAGGCTATATGAATGATTATACTTATCAATGTAATATCACGTTAGTTGTGTATGTTTCGTTAATTGTTATTTTTTTGTTGTTTTAATATATATGTTACATATAATTTACTGTTTATAAATTTTTGTTAATCTCGGAGGTCAAAATCGTACTATTTAATGATAACACGCGTTCGTTTTATTAATGGAGAAAGAAAAATAAAACAAAAAAATAAAAATAACATGTGAATATATTCTTTGGCGAGCAAATGTTAAGCCTTTATCAATGCGAGATAAGAAAGTAATTATTAATTGATAGTGCAAAATAATTAGAATCATCAGTTTAACAGAGCAAGTTTTAATTCATTAATTTGTTGATATATCGAAGCTATTCGAGTGTCATTATCTCGTAACATGCACATATTTAATGAGAATCACGCATCAATCCCGTTTTCTCAACGTGTACAATATACTAGAAATATTTAATCTTCAAATTTTACGTATCTGGCAATTAGATAAATGGATATATATATAAATCATTCTATTATCTAAGACTATATATCTATTTTTTAATTCATTTTTACAAATATTTTTTTATATATATTTTTATAATAATAATATCACACATGAAAGATAAAATTAATTTGTTTTATTATTCGAAAATACTGTGTGCGTTGCATATAACTCTGCATTTGACCCAACGCGGCACACGTTGTCTCTCTACGTAATATAAATTTAATAAGGCATCATTAGTTTTCATAATAAGGGCTTCAGTATAGTTCATTCCCTAGATCAAATATTATTATGCACATCCGCTATTTTGTTAAAATTATTGAGACTATTTTTGCGGAAAATGAATTTATCTTTCGCTGAATAATAAATTTCAACGATTTTAGAAAAACGCGTGATCCAGGAAATAGAATTATCTAAATATTTATATTATAGTTAATTTTTTCTTTTTGGCTTGAAAGCCTTGACATTTGTATAATAATTAAATCATTTCCTTTCCTCATCGTTTATCTCATTGATATTTTTTATCTTTTATGAAGATTTAATCTTGTAATTCTTCTTATCATTACATGAAAAGCTGTTTCAAATATAAAAATATATAATAATCTAAATTAAATACTTATTCGTCGTTAAGATCTTAAGATATATATAAACGATAATATCAACAAATTAAGAGATTATCGTATTTATTTAAAAAACTAATTCATTAAAAAGTGATCTTTGGCTAAAAGAAAACTATTTCTAGCTTAATTCACCTTTCTAACATCCGACTTTTTTTCTTTCATTGTTAAACGTCATGTGGGTATACCCTAAAGCTTATTTCTGATTCGTTGCACAATCACAACAAATAAAAATTCACTTAAAATGAAATGAACGAATTCTTGGATTCTATCAAAATTAATTTGGATTGTAAAATTTATAAATTTAAACAACTTTCCTCTTTCGAAATTCTTTCCTACGTGCGATGTTTGTTTACTGGGAATCACAACATTAAATTCATCTGAAATTTTTGGAACGAAAACCAAATTGGAATATCCTATAATGAATAATATTAAGATTATATGTAAATTTTTTTTATAAAAAGAAAATATATTAAATTCAAAGTCATGTTACATGTATATACATACATATATGAATATATATATATATATATATATAACCGAAAGGTAAAAGAATTCATGTGGCATAGCCTCATTTCAAAGAAGCCACATCATTGGATATCTTCTTGGTCTCTCTCCCGTTGATACAGAGAAAATAAATTGACATAGATCTTTACGCATCCCTTAGTTGCTCGTCAAACTTAAAATTGAATTTAACCGCGTAGACAAGGCAATATATATACCACACTATGACGTTTTATTCCCGTCATAAGCTATGACTAATTTAATGGATATACACGCCTATACGACGACAAAGACGACAATAGACAAGGATGAATGATTCTTCTCCGAAATAGGTATTGCTACGAAATAGGATTACACGTTTGATTATGAATTGCCCTAATTTATTTGATTGGTGAATACCTCTGCGCTGTGTTACGGGATTGGTTGCTCCATGTCACGCGTTTCCGAATTGCTATGACGACCTTATTACCCGAAGAGTTTTTTAGGTGAGAGAAATAAAAAAAGATGATGATAAAAAAGTAAGCAATGAGGGAAAGGAGAAAGTTTTGATTAAAAAAAACAGACAAATAAGAGTTATCCATACCTGCTGTTGTCGACGTCTGAATAATTCATTTTTCAGGGTTATGTGGACCTCGTTAATATATATTAATGTATTTCGTTGAACGAATGAGTAACAGGAGCAATAGCAGAGAGACAAACGTACCAGCTGATTTTTTCGGACTCTTACACTACACTGTCACAATGACGCGTTGCCTCACGCGAGGTAAGAAAAACGTGCGTGATTGGACTTCCTAATATCTCTTCCCCTCTTACTGTCTTTCGTACAAAAAAAAAAACAATCGTTTGATCAGATTATTGGGCAAGAGTCACGGTTACGGGGTGGTAGTGGTAGAGTGGAAAATCGTTCGCGTTGATTGGCAGCGCCGCCAGCGTATGATTCGATAAGCTTTCCCGTACCATACATATATTGATAAGTAGGATCACGTGACGTATGCGCGAGCGTCATCTCTCGACATATGCGTGACGTAGCACGGCTCATTTGTTTTGCTATGTCGTCAAGAATTATTTTGAGAATTTAATTAACTTGCTCACGTGCCTTCTCCCTTCTCTTTAATCCCCTTCCATTCCCTCTTTTTTTTCTATAACAACGTATATAACATACATGCATAGAGATATACTAATATTATCGTTCGTAAAATTTTATTTTCAAGCACGAATCATGTGTTCGATAAGTGCGATTTCTTAATTATCTCCATGACCTTCCATGTTAAGTAGCAAATTTTTTATAATAAATTTTTCTATCCACTTATTACGTAGTAGTTTGAAAAATTTCTATTCATGCTTTGATCCAGTGGCGACACTTAAAACGTTTGGCCCTCCCCGCAAAATATAATTCTAAATTCCCAGAAAAAAAGGCAACTTATATTATATATATTATATAATGAATATTAATATTTTTATTGGATGTTTCAAAATGTAGAATTTTTTTTCGAAATTATAAATTTATAACATATTTAATTATATCTTTTGTATCCATTTTATTAGTAATTTTAGCTTCTATTGCTCAAAGACATAAATAATGAATTTACTTATTTATTGTAACACAACACTTTATCACTTACATTAGCAACAATTTAAACGAAAAAAGAACGAATTTAAATTAGGTATAATTTTAGTAAAATTAAAGAATAATAAATACAAAAATTTGGGCCCCTTTCCGACTTCGGGTCCTTCTGCGTTGCAGGATCTTGCAGTATTGTAGTTCCGCCCCTGCTTTGACCCACTGTTAAATATTTAATTTTAAGAATATTCGAATTCAAATTCAACAAGTTATGGCTTTGCTCTTTGAACTGTATGTTTATTTATTTCTATTTTTTTATTGTTTTTTTTTATTTATTTTATATAAACAATCAAACGAATAATTTACTTTTTATACTTTTTAAGTTTGTTTTTTTCCCCACGAAATTTCAATAATGTAATTTTTTCATTTACGTCAATGAGAGACGCAAAATCGTGTAATGTATGTATCTATACATATGTATAAGATATTAACATGTATAGAAAAGGAAAGAGAAAGACTTGAGATCGCCAATATTAAATATTTTTGTATTTGCTTATCGATACTTTTACCTTTTTCGTTTTGATGTGGATACTTATTTAGTTTTTGCATACAAAAACTTATAAAATATATATATATATATATATATATATATGTATATCCTATTGTATTAGATAGATTTAAAAGATAAGAATGTGTGTGTGAGTATGGAAAAGAATAATAAACTGAATTATAAATTACGTTAACTTTTTATATATATCACTTATTACGACTCGTGAATCAAATAGAATTAATGGATAGATGGATGGAAGGATACAAATTAAATGGAAGAATAAAAATTAAATGGAACCGAAAATAACGAAACTCTGAAATTATTCTCTTTTTATATAATCAATATAATATGATAATGCTAATATTATTTTTATTGATTATCTATTAGTCTGACCTCGATCTGTAAAATCATCGGCTAAATAATCTTACTATTGGTGTATTATCCAATGAAATTATGTACTTAGTACAGTAATTCCTCCATTTATGCAGGTAATTAGTTTTAGAAAAAAAAGAAAAGAAATTCACATAAATGGAAACCGCATAAATGAAAACATGAAAAACTGTTTAAAATAAAAATCCGTTCCATATTTTCTAATATATATTTAGCTTTTATTGGAGTAGAAAAATTTACAAAATAAATTGTATTAAGGAATCTCTGAATTTGTTTTTACATAAAACGTATTGTGGTGATATTGGAGCTTTGATAGTTCAAGTGAATTAAAATCTATCCGCGTAAATGAAGACTGCATAAATGGAGGGAGGGATTACTGTATTTACATACGTTATGCAATTTACGATGTAAATATATGTAAAATTCAAAACAATTTTCTATACGTTGTTTTAACTAATGTTGATATACTCTTCAGTACGTATACAAAGAAATTACTTTTATTGCACATCGTTCTTATTTGCATATTAATATATTTGATTATGTATAAAAAAAAATATATGTTTATGTGAATAAATATACATATTTATAAAACAACGTGGAAGTGTTTAATAGTTACCAAGGTAACCAATTAATATCGCTGCGCTAACAACTTTTAATGAGATTTAAGTAATAAAAATTCTATTTTAAAAGAGCAAGGAGATATCAAGTACGTATATGTAATAATATATATATATAATATGTACTTTAATATTATCACGTATAAACCTTGTTTTATGTCAAACGTAGGAATACCCGAATTGATTGTAAGAGAAAAAGGAAAGATTAATTTAGATTAAATCATGATGTGCCGAATATTATCATCTTCGGTGTTTTATCTCCGATTGCATCGATCTTCCATGCATGGTAAAATATGTCGTGGTATTACTAAATTTCCGATATTATCAAATGTGGAAAATCAAAGATGCATAGATATAAATAGCAATGAAGTAATACGTAAGTTTCTCGCATTTTCATTACCATCATTTTTTACAAGACAATAATTGTAATTGCTATTACTTTATTTAATTATTATCATCTTTATTATACTTTGAAAAATATTTAATGACACTTTAGCTACACGTATGGCTCAATCACACGCAGCATCGGTAATTAGGGAAACTTTGAATCGTGATGACCCTCTACCTTTGATGGAATCAACAAACACTGAAATGATCACGGAAACTTTTGAAATAACCAGTAAATTTTTAAGACCATCGAGCATCGAAGATAGGACACCGTTATCCTTCGATCAAATACCTGGTCCTACGATAATGAAGCTATGGGAGAAATATTGGAAATACGTGCCGCTGTTCGGTACGCAACTGTTTTCCAGTCTGCTAATCAACAGATTCAGCCAGGGTATGATTTGAAAGTTCGAGGGTTGGGGGTTGAAAGGCTCTAATTTCATTTTCACGATACATCATGTAATTTTGATCGTAATACAATTAATCTTTCCTAGCGAAATTTAGTATAAGTTTAATCTCAATAAGTTTGTTGTATTTTTATCGTATTATCGTGAATTAATTTTTAGGACAATTAAGTTGGAATCGTAACTTCACGCCGATTAAATATTTTTTTAATACATATGGTTGTATCGTAAGACTCAACGGTCCATTATCCGGTGATATCGTCATGATTCATAGGTAAACAGCTAGATTTACATAGATTAATTATTATTTAACATAATTCAAATTTGAGGATTCATCCAGGCCGGAACATATAGAAGAAGTTTTTAAACAAGAAGGTGATGTACCTATTCGCAGTGGTATCGATATTCTTGAACATTATCGTCTTCATTATCGGAAATATCGTCATGCTGGTGCTTTTTCAATGTTAGCACTATACAAATATTCGTACAGTATAAAATATGTATATAATATTAACAGCTATTTATTACAGGCAAAGTTCAGAGTGGTTAGAATTGAAAGAAAAAGTACATAATCCGTTCAACATGATAGATTCTAAATTTTTTCAAAAACTTGAAACAGTTTCCGAAGATTTTCTAAATCGAATTCGACAAATACGCAATAGACAGGATGAAGTACGTAATTATGATGTTTTTCCAACAAATTTTAAATGAAATTCCTAATACAAATATTTAATCAATTAGGTTCCTCATAATTTCAACGAAGATATAACACGTTGGGGTTCAGAATGTTTCTTCACTCTTATATTCGATAAGAAACTTGGATTTATTGATTCAACAGGTCAAAATCCTACTTCTGAGCCAGCAATATTCATTGACGCGCTTACGACCGCTCACAAATATTTAAGTCGTTGTGAAACTGGTTTTCAAGTATGGAGATTTTTTGATACTCCTTTTTCTAAAAGACTTTTTTCAGCGTGCGACGTTATTGATGGGTAAGTCAGCGATTAAATTGTTTTATATCAAATTATCTGCGATCGTTAATTATAATTACAATTTATTATAGTTTATTAAATAAATACATTCGTCAAGCACAAAATACGTTTCGTACACGATCCTCTGAGGATACTCCACCAATTTTAGAAAAATTATTATTATCTCAACGTCTTCATCCAGACGATGTTTCCACTTTATTAATGGACATGGCAATTTTAGGAGTTCAAGCGGTAAAAATGATCGATCAAAAATCTTGACAAAATTAATTATTAATAAATTATTCTTAAATTAAATATTTTAGATGACTAATTGCGAAGCATTTCTTTTATATTTCTTGGCAAAAAGTCCTCGAGTTCAGAAAAAATTATATGAAGAAGTTGTTTCATTAATTCCTAATCCGAAATCTCCAATAACTGAAAATCATTTGAAAGATATGCCGTATTTAAAAGCTTGTTTGAGAGAAAGCCTAAGGTATGATAATATATTTTATATATATATTACTGTTGACTAATCAACATCATTTTACGACGAGGTATACATTTTTATTTAAGATTGCGACCTGCTTTTCCATACATTACCAGATTATTACCAAATACGATATGTCTTCATGGATACACAGTACCAAAAGGGGTAAACTAATATACCATATTTTTTTATTTTAATCACATTTTTGACTAAACAATACGTACAATATTTTTTAGACTTTTGTAATAATGGCCAGTCAAATAACGTCACAACGAGAAGAAAATTTTGAAGATCCAGACAAATTTCGACCGGAAAGATGGTTGACTAATGAAATGGATAATGATTTTCAAGAATATAGTTACTTACCCTTCGGACATGGTGCACGATCTTGCTTAGGAAGACACATGGCGGAAATACAAATGTCCTTGCTTACGGCTAAGGTAAATTTTTCATTTATATTAAATCTTTAATTTTTTTTATCACTTGAAATAAATTTTTTTAGTTGATCCGTGAGTTTAAGATAGAATATAATTATGCTGATATTGGAACCAATTTTTATATGATGAATGTACCTGACAAACCTCTTCGTTTTCGATTCATCGATAGAAATTAAAAAATGACTATTATTATTATACGTATTTAAATATGACGAAATGATTTTGTGAGAAGAAATTATCCTTACGAGTTAAAGAATGTGAATGATACAGGAACTAACAGTAAGTAGGTATTATATTTAATTACATAGAGTGTTGTATTTATATAGAAACTACGATTTTCTATTAATTATAAGAGTGTGTTCAATAATTATTATTATTATTATTTTATTTTAATAAAAGTATGTTATATGTATATATATAAACTTCTATTCTTTTAATTTAAAGTTTATTTGAACAATCAATAGTTTTATAGATATTCCAGAATATTTACAATGAATAATTCGAAAAATTATTCAATTGTTCGATAATAATAATGCAATCTAGTAAAGTCATAACGTACTGAAAAATTGTATGACATATTATTTATTATTAATTGAAATAACTATATGAAGATTACAGTTTAAAAAAATGTTTATATTACTGACCTTGTAAGCAAAGCGATGGCCAAAATAAAATAGACCCATCCCAGAAAGTTTTAGTGATTTTTGTCCAATTTGTAAAATGAATTGCAAAATCTATATAACATGCAAAATTTGATTACACAGTTGTTACATAATTTGATTTGATAAGGTATCTCACCTCTTTTTGCCTTTCTGGATCGTAAGTGAAATCTCTTAAAATATGAAGCGCGTGTTCCGTACGTTTTGCCTGAATTAATTAGTATAAAATAATTATCGCAAGTTTATAGTCACTTATATATTATGGAAAGTATTAAATTACTTTTAAAAACGATTAAAATATATTTATTTATCATTGTCAATACCTCTTTACAACATTTTTCGATGGTATTATTTAGAAATATCACTTTACCCATTAATATGATTTGTACAAAAAATGCTGGCATAATAATCAATATGTACGACAATTTAAATGAAAAATGTATATCTATTAACAACAAATATCCAAGTATAAGTATAAATTGAGATATCATTCCAATGGTTAGTTGTACTTGAAACATTTTGTGAAATTCGTAACATGTTTTTGACAATTCTAGATGTACGTGCCTTTAAAAATTTTATAATAAATAAAGTTAGGATATATTTGTTAAATTTACAAATGTGTGAATAATAATTATTGCATATTTACATTATTGTTAATAGACTGTGTTTATGATGAAAAGAATCAATGAGATATCGGTAATTCGATCTTTTAAAATTTACGCTCGCTCGCGTTACTTTTAATTCATAATTATTATTCGTAGATAAATGTAAAATATATTTGTTGATTTCTTCAAAAATCGTCCCCGTATACCTAAATATATAAAATTATATTTATAAATAAATTCACTTTGTTTTTCTCAACAATTTTTTATGATGATCAGTAATTAAAATTTTATTTCATACACAAATTCGTACCAAATAAAAATTTCATATTTTAAATCTGCCAGATTATTAACACACAAAGGATAATTTATTATAAATATCTTTAAATATATTATGAGTTCATTCAAGCTTTCCTTATACCATAATAATTGGATTATATTTATAAGAGTAGAAATTACTATCCATATAATAATATTACGTTTTATTCTTTTACGTAAATTTTCATAATTATTTGGAATGTAAAGTTTTTCCAATGTATCGTTTATCATAACAATTCTATCGAAGCATCTTTTCCATGTCTGTTACGCAACAAAAATAATAAATTAATTATATGCGATTAATTGATAAGATGTTTATTATAATTTTAATTTATAAAAAATATATATTAATTATAATAAAATGTTTAAATTATGTAATGCAACTTAAGAAATAACATACTTTCTTATAATACAGGAAACAGATCACCATCGTAATTGTTGTAAATAATTGAGAATTGATTACTATAAAGCCTGCAGGTTCTTTACCAATAATCCGGTAATATAACAAATAAATGGAAATACTGAAGATAACAATCCAGGAAATAATTTTATACAAATAAGTAAAAAATACGTTTAGTTGTCCTAAATTTGGATGTTCAAAATTTCCAAATCCAGACAATTTGAAAATTAATTCTAATAGAAAAAAAGCGTTAGCTAAATTTCCCGACATAGTTGTCTTTATATGATACTACACTCACTGTGCTCTATTGAAATATTACGCACCTTATATCCCAAACGTAATACATACAGTATTCTACATGTATGCTCTTTCTAACAAATCGATCTATTAAGAAGTATTAATGTTTAATGAGATCATCCATTTATGTTTCACTATGTTTATTACATTAAGACGCTCGCCACACACACACACACACACACACATTATATATATATATAAAGATTCAATTCAAATTAATTAAAAGGAAATAGTAATTTAATACTGAAAATAACCATCTTACATATATATATATATATATATATATATATATATATATATATATATGTAGTAAATAACTTTCACTAATCTTACTTCAACAAAATTATGTTGTCTTACTAGTGTATAGTAGTTAACTTCATAAGTAGGAAGTTTTTAAAGTAAATTATACTATAATACTAATTTCTTTAAATAATTACAGTGTAAGATTTTTCTTCAATTATATCATTCTATATACAAATACACAATTTTTTCTTTTTATATAGTAGTAATTATTATATCACGTCATATACACTAATAATCTATTTTTATATATTTAAGAAATTAATTAAATAATAGATGATGTAGTAAAAAATGTATAATGATTCAATGATGAGTGTATTGTATATATCATAAGCAATAAATTTACAAATCCTTTTTCTTTTCCCTTCTTTTTTTATCATATATTACATAAAATTTATAGTTAATTAAATTGAATTAGAAAAACTCAAAGTATCGAGGTTGTTTTGCGGTAGCATATTAAGTTGACTTAATAAGTTCTCTCTTTCTCGCAAACACATCCAAGCCTTATCTTGTTCTTTTTTTGTCAATGGTACTTTTCTTTGTTTAGAAAGAATTAACTTTTTATAATTTTCTATAACTTCATTATCCGCTGTAGCAATTTTTCTTTTAAGTGCTTGTCTTTTACTTTCCTCCTGTGCAAGATTTAACAGTCTTTTCAATTGGGTAACATTATGATTAGATAAAGCAGATAGTTCTTGTTGACATCTTTTGATTTCTGTAAGTATTTCATCATCATCCTGATTTTTTTTCTGCCCATCCGAGTCTAGTATGCCTTGTTCTATTAATTCCTTGTGCATTCTAATTTCCAAATTCATTGAATTTTGTATCGTTAAATCTCTAAGAACTGGTGGATCATTATTTCTAAATAATTTATTATCCATATTATTATTTGCAACAAATACATTTTCTTCTAGTAATGCAGAAACTAGCCTTTGAGTTAAAGGTCCAGCAATGCCATTCATTTTCTTATCCCCTTTAGGTACTAAAAGAGACACATCCTGACGATTCTTTTTCTTCTCTCTATTTGGATTGGCTGCGTCTTCTTCTTGCAACAAATCATTATGTGCCCAGATTACGCTATAGTGACGACCTAATGGTGGTATTTTTTTATATTCGCTTAGATCACTATGCATTGTAATTAACTCTTCCAATAACTTAATATCATCTGGCATAATGTCCGTACAATAAGGATCTACAGAAGCCCAAAATTTATTAGGCGTATCGTTCTTTGGTAATAATAATTTTGGGACGTCGGATTTAGATCCTTCTATTTTTCCTATATCATGTAGATTTGGAATTGCTTGGTTCCCTAAATTCCCTGATGTTTTTTGTTTTAAAAGTTTAGTAGAAACAGATGTTTGCGTTTTGGTGCTTATTTCTTTAGGCTTAAATTTTTCTTCTCTAACTTTTCTATCAAGAAGTGACAAACCTTTTCCACTCTTCGATCTTTTATCTCTACGCTCTTCTGCTGAAGATAAACTTGTTATTTCATCTTGAAGCATTCGATGTCTTACTACTACCGATGAAAGAAGAGTTTCCAGTTCTAATTGCAAAGCATCCAAATCTTCCATACCTACACTATCTTCTGTTGTACGCTGTAAGATACTAGCATATCTTGGAAGTAGTCGACTGTTATCAGCTATTTTTAAAATAGGTATTGACATTATAGATTCTGTTCCACTAGGACTCATATCAGCATTAGGCACTGATGTTTCTGCAGTTTTGCCACATTCACGTACTTTGCCAACAGCTTTCTTAGAACTTTGTTTACCTTTCCCTGACATACTCTTTAATGTAATATAATCTAGGTATCAGTGACAATGATTAAATGTTTATATCACAGTGACTAATATTTCCTGTTCGTCTCTCTACAAAATATTCTATTATGTAGGAAATTATTTCTATATCTTTACATTTAAAATATAGATTTACATAAATAAAGGCATATTTTTTTGTTTATGTAGAATTATTAACAAAAAAATTTGATAACTCGTAACTCGCAACTCGACAACTAAAACGATCAGCATGCACAAAGTACAGGTTAGTATCGTTTCAGGACGCACTTCAGGACACACTTCATGCACCTTTAAAATTTGAAACGATTCTTATTCTATAGGGATTTTTGTTATTGTACATTGGACATTTTTCGATGGTAATGTAAAAATGAAAAAAAATACTATTATTTTCGAATAATTGGTATGAAAATTAAATGATTATTATATATATATATATATAAAGAGAAGTATATTATTATAAAATATAATAGATATATATTATATTTCAATTGGAAACATTTTTAATATTGAAATATATTCATTTATTATATTATCGATATCGACGATTTCGACCTTATCGACGGATATTGAGAAGAGTTTGAAAATGTGGCGCGAAGTGGCGTATCATTCGAAGTTATCTTTCGTCAGTTAAAAGGATCATCGTAAGAGAATGTAAATTCATGGTTTAGCTTACTGCGACTTTTAAGATACTTAAAAATCGTCATCCAAGTTGACAAAGCTGGTGGCTCTTTGTGGAAAGCGAAGAAAGTGACGGAAAAATTGTAATGATTGAAAGCAAGCTTGTGAAACAATCAAGTGTTTGTAGAAATGAATTGCAATGGAGAATCGTCTTTGGATGGTAAACGTAGGGTCATTTCTTACATGGATAGCAAACCTATCATCACCTGTAAGTTCATTTCTATAAATGTTTACACTTAACCTCTTTACAATGACGATCATCAATGATTATAGTTATCAACGCCCCCTTCCTTATATGCACTCGTTTTCTTCATACTTTAATACTTTTTCTAACGAATTGAATTATTTATCATGTTTCAATAATAATTTCTATTAAGAATTACTTTAATTCTTTTTGTTCATCTAAAATAAAAAAAACATATGCTGATTAATTTGGAGATTATGAATTTTTCAATGATAGCCTTTGACAAGGGATGTCAAAATTAAATTGTCTTTGATATCCAATATTTCTTATGTTTCTAATCTTAATTTTTATTTTATGCGATACTTGTGCACATGAATTACTATTAAGTATTTTTAATTATTATAGATGCCGGAGATGAAGAATTATTTTCTACTTTGGAAAATGGTTTGCTTCAAGCTATTCCTGAGAGCACAGTTGAGTGGCGTAGATCATTTGGTAGACCGATTAAACAGGTTAAACTTGGAGCATCTTTTGTATCATTTTCCAGAGATATCTTGCCTAATGAAAAAGACTGGCATCTCGTGAATCAGCCAGTATTACACATTTATTTAAGCGAATGTACTGTAAGTGAAATTAAAGTATTTACATATGTATGCATTATTTCTTTTTACTTTGTAACATTTATTTATGTAATAAATTCTTGGAAAACATAACTTTTAGGATATTGACGTTTATAAAACAAGTGTAAGAGATGACATAGATGCTTGGTTGAAGATATTATCTTCTTATCATATTCAAGACTGGATGATTGTAATAGTAGAAACATATGATCCAAAAAAAAGTACCAAATTATTACCTAGAACTACTGTTTTAGATAAGATTAGAAATGACTTTGCTTCTAAAACCGGTGATAGGTAATTTAAATTATATTAAATTAAGTGCAAATAAAATATATATATAACATGATAATTATGCTTATTTTGTACTATTTTATGTAGGTGTTTTGCTGTAATAAATCCTATTAAATATAAATCTCGTTCAACGGAAACTTGGAGAGGATTAATTGGACGTATTCGTCATTTGATGCTAACTGCATACGATAAAACTCTTTCTCGATTTGAAGATGTTATAAGAGAACAAAGGGAAAGCCGGAATCTTCCTGGCTGGAATTTTTGCCATTATTTCCTTTTACAGGTAATATTTAACGCTCTAATAAATTTCTATTAAAAATGAATCATGATCGTTATATAAAACGAATTTATTTGATATTAATATTTCAGGAAGAACTTGCATTTGTGTTACAAATGTTGGGCTTATACGACGAAGCATTGGTACAATACGATGAATTGGATGCTCTCTTTACACAATTTGTATTAAACTCTAATGTAGGAGGTACAGTTGAAATGTCCCTCTAAAAGTTATAGAATGTAATTTATTTATCTTCATATTTAAAAGCTTTTAATTTATTGTTGTTTCTTTTACTAACTTTTTTATTGCCTACCCGCTAATCATTAAAATTATTATTAATAATTAAATTTCATTAATATCGATTATTACTTATTTCAATTCATTTTTATTTTGATTTCTTACAGATACACCAGCTTGGCTGAATTTATTCCAAACGCCTCTTAATAATTGGGCTGGTGTAAATTTAAGCAATGGTGTTAATCATCATTTAAGATTTCTATTAGCTGAATGTAAATCATCGTTGCTGGACTTTAGAAGTTATTTATTTAGCAGACAATGCGCTATGCTTTTATTCCTTAAAAAGCCATGGGAGGTTTGTGCAATAAAATTTGATTAACATTGGTTTTTTCTTTTAAATCTGATGAAGTACTTAAATCATTTTTTTTGCAGGTTGCACAGCGATGTTTATCCTTTATTCACAATACACTGAGTGAATTACAAATTCTAGAAGTTCAACGACCAGAAGGATCCGTCGAGTGTTGGGCTTTTTTGTGTGCGTTAGAAGTATTGCAAGCATGTCAAGAATCAGCTTTTGGTCTAGATAACAATCAACAGTCAGATCTTTGTTCTTTACATACTGCAAGTCTGTGGGCCCTGGCGCGTGATAAGGTAAATTTAACTAACTTAAAATATTTTATTTAATTTTTTTAGTCCTTATATCGTATAATTATATTTTTTGTTTAGTTAGGAGCATTAGGAAAACTATGTGGTCTTATGCCAGGCAGCGAACCGACTAGCGAACAACTCCATACAGTTGTTTATCTTATAGCAGGTATGGGAGATTCCGAACCACAAGAAGAAAGAAAAGTAACTCCAATCGATAAACTGAAGGAAGCATTGTCGTCTAAAGAAGTTTTTAAAAAACAATACTTGGAACATGCAGAATTAGCTATGGGTACTTATAAACACGTTGGTCGAATAAGATCAGCTAGATCGATAGGCAAAGAATTAGCCAGATTCTATGGTGAATTAGGGGAAAATCAGAAAGCTGTAGCATTTTTATCTGATGCTTTGAAAACTTATACAGATGAAGGATGGCATCACTTAGCAGCACAAACACAATTAGAATTAGCACAATGTTATAAAAGAATGGACGATGTAGATAAATATATAGAAGTTTGTGCTGCGATATCTTGTACTAATATATTACATATTACTGTACGTAATTCATATTTTGAAGAAATGTTAGGATATATGAAGATGTTAACTTCTCCACAGCCATTACTCACTGAACTTGGACACTCTTTTATAATACTCAGTATGGAAGTTAACGTAATGGACAAAGTGGTGCAAGATTGTGTAGTTAATATTGTAATTAGTGTACAAAGTTTGTTTCCTAGAGAAATCAAATGTACAGGTGCATATATCTCTGTTGATGAAGTTCAAAAACCTTTGGCTCCTAATAAAAAAAAAGGTTCCAAAGTGGCAACAGAGCCACCAATACAATTGTAAGTATTTACTTATTAATGATTACATATTATAATTTATATGAGATATGTAACATTTTTTTAATGTTATAATTAGGTTGTCAAGTTGTACTATAGAAGACATGAAGCCATTTGATGCAAGCTTAGCTTTATTACAAGTATATTCTTACTTGAACTGTAAAGAAGACAAAAGTATAGGTTCTGCTAGTGTTATGCACAAAAATCTAAAACCTGTGGTACGACGTTCAGATAGTGCTAAACACAGAAAAGCTCCTATAAATACGAAAGGTGACTTTAGCAAATCGTTATCGTGCTCTGAATTTATTATGAAACCGGGTGTAAATATGTTTACATTGACCAGGCGAGTTGATTGTCCTGGATTTTACGAAGTTGGTCAATTGTCACTTATTATAGAAGAAAAGTTAGAATTTCTATCCCCAATTTTAAATCCACGATTATGCTACGAGGTAGCAAAAACTCAACCATTAATTTCTTTAAAGTGTGGAAGAGATTTATTGGCTGGTATTATTCAAGATATAGAATTAGTTATATCAACCGGAAGTATGAGGATAACGAAAGAAATGAAATTAAAATTACGCGCATCTAGGGGATTATTGATACAATTAAATGAAGTAGAAGCAGTAATGGTTAAAGAATTAGAAACGCCACTGCCATCGTGTGAACCATTTCAAACAATAAAATTGGGATTAAAAGTTTTAGCTGAGTTACCACCTAAAAAAGATCCTTCTTCTATGGAACACAAAGTAATTTTTTTTCTCGTATCAATTATTAGAATCAATGGATTTAAACTTTCCTAATATGAAATATGCAAGTGGTATTATTGTTTCAGCTTAGCGTGCAATGCCCATGGGGTACGGAAGAAAGTATCCTTTTGCACTTTGGTCCACCATTAATGACAAATATGAAATTGCACACTGCTAAGCAGAGAAAATTTGTTCAAATCATTGTAACAGGGTTGACAAGTCGACTTTTGCAATTATCTGATCCATATTTGGCATCGAATACGTCAATGGATTTAAATTTTAAAAGTTTGAATCCAACTGCTGGTCAACGATTAATGGTAGGTAGCGGAATGAATGTATCATTCATGTGGGAAGTTGAAGTTGGCAAAGATGAGAAAGCTATGGTACCCATTAAGACTGATTTTCGTGTAAAATACGTACCAATTAATGACACTGAGGAAACGAGTAATTTAAATGATGATCCTTTACATATAAATAATTTGAAAAAGCTAGAAAAAACTTCTAGTGTATATAGATGTAATTTTGATGTCACGGATTACGTGGTAAGTATAAAAATAAAAAATAATAATATATCATAACTTTGCTATTAAGTTTTTAAAAAAGTATAAATTTTCATTTATACATATATAATATTTTTCAGACATTATTCACAGTTTCTTCGAAGGTTGAAGCGGGTGGAGGTGGAGGAGAATTTTGCCGTGCTGGTAGTATGTGTCATCTTTATCTAACAGTGACGCGTATGTTGTATACTCCTAATCCTAATCCTCCACCTCAATTAATGTATGAGGTATTAGCAGATCAAACAATGTGGGCTGTTTGTGGCCGAACAGCCGGAATCATTTCATTAGAAGTAGTAGAAAAACAAAGTGTTACGTTAGATGTTATGCCTCTAACCAGTGGTTATTTACCTTTACCTGTTGTTAGATTGTCTCGATATATCCCTGCGGTAGAAAGCAAATCAGGCAAGTACACTAACAAACTGTATTAATATTCTACATAGAAAAATATCATCCTAATATTGTCATTATGTGTGAACAAGACTTATATAATATTTTCTTATCATATCTACAATATTAATTTAATTTTTTTTCTTCTTTTAAGATGTCACCCGTAAGGGTGATGTAACTTCTGGTCCAAGACTGGAGCCATTCAGTCCAGGACAAGTATACAATGCTAGTAAAGCACAACAAGTACATGTTTTACCTGCAGCACCTTCAGAATCTAATTAAATTTCTAATCTATTCTTAAAGCCATATTACACAACTTGGTTTTTAAAGAATAAATTCTCACTAGGGTGATCAGCACAGTAATTTGAAAGTTCATTTGAAAGACTATGTACTAGTCTTTATTATCTTACAATTAATATGCAAATTTGTTCTTGATATAAAGAATCAATACTTTCACTTGATTGAAACTTGATTACAGCTAAATTAATAATAGCCACACACACACACACATTTTCTCTCTCTACATATATAGATTGTACCATAATGATCGATCATCATTCAGTATTTTTTTTTGCTTCAACTGTAATTTTTTTTATCTAAAAACGATGTATGAATTAGACAATAGACAACCACAAACGTAAAAAGAAAAATATTTTAATTTAAATCTTTATAATGAAATAGAATTTAATATCAGATTGATAGTAGACTCACGAACAACAAAATTGAATACCCTTATATTATAAGATATATTTAATGTCTTATAAAAGTAATCTTTTTATTTTTCATTTATATACGTTTAATGCTAATTTTCTTGTTCTTTGTAATCAATTTCAAACGACTTATTATATTTTTTTATCCAACTAAATTTATTTCTGCCTTTTTTGAAAATATTTGCTTTCAATGAGTATTATTTTGTTGAGCGCTATGTATTATAATATGATGCCATAATTATTACATAGCATAAGAATGTAAAGAATTTATATAACGCATCGGGAAGAGAACAATCGATATGAAATTTGTTTTTATCCAAAAATAGTGAAACACAACGTCGTAAAATAAAAATCTAAAAGACAGCCGATAATTTGATCCAGTATTGATATTTATTAATAAAAAAAAGAAGTTTAATTTATGCGTATTTTAAATTGTGTAGTATTTTCATATTTTAAATTTTGATCCTACCATTACTATAGAAATGAATTTAATATCGATTGTCCGCTTTGATGTTAATACGGGAAAATATTATATAGAATGTACTTTTGAATGAAATATCTATCATTTAGATATATGGTACCTGTGCTCTAAAATATATAAAACTGTTTTATAATTTTTTATTAAATAATGTATATTATCTGCATTAATCGCGATAGTTACTTATTCTTAATCCGATAAGTGCTTCTTCGCAATTTGCTCTAAATATTGATCTAACAAGAAAGAAAGAAAGAAAGAAAGAAAAAAGGAGAAAACAACTCATTAAATCTATATGTACACGTGACATCGAATATTTTCGAGAATCGATAAAAACAGCGTGTATAGGTATACATATATATGTGTGTGTGTGACAAAAAAAATGATATGAGAAATGAACATTGAAGAAGATAGAAAAAAGTATCTGTATATTATTAATTTCGTGCCAATGTAGGAATCCTTCACTTTAATTATATTAATTACTTATAGATTTTGTATCAGAGATTGTTTAATTATATTTTCTTTTTATTTTTGTTTTTCTTTTCTGTTTGTTTTTATTTTGCAAACGTTTAAAACTTTGTGATATTTATAAAGATCTTTTTTATATACTAGCGATTCAATTCTCTTAGAATGATATGATGGAATATTGAAATATAATGAATTATATTATTAACTGTGTATATCTCTATAAACAATTAATTATATTTTACTTTGTACCGAGAATTATAAATTATGTGGAAGAAAAAAAATGAAAAAAAGTAATAGAGCAGTAGTGCCTATTAGAGAATTTTATAAAAAAAGATGTCTTACTGGTAACGCTAAAATACATTAATTTTCCTTAATCATCTAGTTATTGGCCAGTGATAAAAATAAATAGTATAATTACATCACATATGTATATATATATTTAGAACGTTCTAATGTTGACATAACAAACTGTTTATTCAATCAGATATGGCCTTAATATATTTAATTTATGCAAATGAATCGTTTCTAGAATACCCCTGCATTTTTTCGACTGATATTAATTTTCATAGCAATTTAAAATCAGATTGTTTATTGAGAATTAACAATGTTGTAATAACTGTATTAAAAAACATGAATTATATGTACATTTCTGCAAATGCAACACTCAAACTATATATATATAAATATAAATATTATAATAGAAATAGATAAAATATTAATATAAATTAAGATATAAATTTTGTATTTTTTAGTTTCACTTAAACGAACAGTTTTTGTAATGACACAATAAGATTATATTTAAGAACTTAGATGTTTAATCAGAATTCAGTATCTTGGTATCTTTCACTGCATTCATAGTTACTATAAATATATCAAAAGAAAATAGAACGGATTTACATTAACAAGTAATGTCATCGAAAATTTATATCTCGGTATATAATATCATAAAAAATTATGTTCTCTCTCTCTATTAAAATACATATATTTACGTTGCCATGTTATTCTGCATATATCTATATAGATTAGTTTTCATTGAATATCTTTTTTATTCAAAATGTAAATAAGATAAATGTTATAATATTCTGTATACGTGATAATTATATATTTTATACGTTATCAGAGCTATAAAAATTATTTAGTATTTATATTAATATAAAATATATATGTAAAATGTGGGAAGATATTTTTTTTTTATATTTGGTATTATAGATCATAATAATAAAATCATCTTTTTTATTGCCTAGTATATATATATATATAATCTATAATAATCGTTTATTATTTAAGAATGTTTAATAATTTTTTTCTTTTTTTTGTGTATTAAAGTAAAAATGAACATACACAAACAAATTAGTAATGCTTCAAAATACTGAAAAGGATACTGTTATCATATCAAAAAGAAATACTGCAATTATATTATTTTAATATTATATCATAAAGAATTGTTATAAATCAACGTCTCTTTTAAAAAAAAAAAGAAAGAAATAATACATGTATATGTGGTACATAGATGCATTAAATATAAATTGACAAAATGTGAAAGCACAACGTTTCTTTTATAAATTATATATATTCACAAAATGATAATTACTTTATTTCTGGATTATTGAATAACTCTAAAGTTCAGGATATAGACAAAATAAGGTCTGAAATTGCTATTCAATTTATTTATATTCTTCATATAATTTCTATCTACGATTTCTTTTTATTGTTAGTATACTTTTCTAATATATATATATATGTGTGCATATAATTATGTATATAGCCAAAATACCAAATAAAATCCATAAAGCTCTTTTTGTATTATTCTTGGAGCTATCGCATGGACTTATATTGTAAATGTGAAAAGTTTTGCATATTATATTATTATTATAACAAATATGGTTAGATACTAAAAATGAATTTCCAATCTATTCCAATGATCTAATTACACATATTGTTTTGATAATATCTATGTTTAATCATACATCATTTTAGTTTTCATTCTATATTTTCTTATCGTATTGTTTTCATTTAATGTACGCACTTATATTTGGCACAGTTTTCTAGCAAAGTTGTACTATATTCTTTTATCAAAAATATTGTAGGATAAAGTAAGTTTATTTTTTTATCTATAGTACCACAAGTACTATATCTATAGTATATACTACGCTATATATCTAATGTAAATAAAAAATATTTGTATGAAAGAATGATGTATATTACATTGCGAACATGGTCAACAAATAGTAAAATATGTACTTTAATTCTTAATGATATAAATTAAAAGCAAATTTCATATTCCTCACACATTAATGTATGGAATACAATATTTCTTCTTATTATTATATGATAATGAATTAATTATTGCAAATATTTATCTTACTTAATTTAAAATGTATTAGTAAATTGGCATCGGAGCTTGAGTTAAAAGTAAACCATATCTTCTTTTTAATATTATTCGCTCTTTAGAGTATTTGTCTTCTGGAGAAAATCTTGCTGGAATTTTTAAATAATATGTAAATACTAATTATTATATAAATCTACAGAAAAATATTGTTTTAAATATTACCAGGATGTGCAGACATGGTTGGTTTTCCATTAGGATCAATTTTCTGCAGGATAAATGTAGAAAGAATGATTTAATTATATTATTACATTATAAATCAATTAATATAAGAAATTATTATCAAATATTTGTTTTTACCTTTAACGTGTATACACGCTCTCCTTTTTCATTCAAATAATACATTAAATACATTTTTTTATAAGTTAATGAACTTTTCTCACAAATATAAAATCTAACCTCACTTACTCTCTTGCAACGTGCTTTACAAATGATCGTATAGTATGGCTGATAATACAAGGAGAAATTTGCGCATGCGCACAATTACATTTTATTAAATTCGATGGAAATAAAAAAAAAGAAAACGATATAAATTACAAAATAATACATTTTTAATATTTTATGAATGAGATACTAATATTAAACATTATTAAAAAAAAGTAAACATAAGAAAATAATAATATTAAATATTTTCTGTATACTTAATCGATATTTTCTTTTACAGTAATTCGATTTGTCAAAAATACTTGCGATTAATTAAACAACAAAAACATTGGATTTTTTTTTAAGGTAAAATTTAAGAGTGCATTCTCAATGTGTATTTAACCTAATGTTATTTATATCTAAAATATTTAAATATCATTATTCGATATGATATTATAAAATATTTATATTGCTGTGACGCAATAAAATGACGTGTTCTGTATATACCTTTACCATATAGATATAAACCATTGTAGGCCTAAATGGGGGCCTATGCTTACCTGTATATGGTTAGCTTTCGCTCCCTCACATTTCTGCATCCCTGGTTACCCGTGATATATGGGGCCTTAGATTTACACAATAGGACCTTACGAGATGTCTTGATATTTATTAATTTGATATAATACAAATTTCGAGATTTCATTTTTCAATATGAAATTAACTAAATTATCATAATGATAAACATATAAATATATACTTTTATCTATGTTCAGTTGTATCAATTGAAATCATATTTGTAAACCGATTGCTATATTATTTAAATATACGTTATTATTTTCATAAATAATACTCTATTATTTCATCAAATTTTATATTATGTTAATAATTGTATAACGCATTTCGATAGGTTTACAAATTCCCGCTGCTGCGACGCGCTGATCCCACCAATCACGTGTCGGAAAAGGCCCAATGCTATTGGTTAAAAAATGAGAAGACAAATGTTCTCGACCAATCATATTTTAGTAACACGCGAATAAAGTAAAGTAATTATTGCGTACGTGGAGAAGCGAGATGGATATTAAGAAGTAGAGTGGGGGAAGTTGGGCCTTACTCATAGCTGCAGTTGCCAGTACGCTCTCGTGGCGTGTGTGTTATTAATAGTGTAAATGTATCATTGCAACGTTTATTCGATTGTTTTATTATTCTTTTTCTTATTCCCTACAGCATAACAAGGACATACAGGTTTATTCTTCAACGATTTTCAAAACAATCTATTTAAATTTTCGGAGTTCCCATTTGTTTTATTTATCGAAGATAGATTGTTGTTCTGTTTATCAAAAGTAAGAATCGAGATGCGTGGAAGCGTCGCGTTTGACGAATTTCGGCCACGACGTTGGCCCTGAGAGAAAGCAAAGCAAAGTAAAGTAAAGTGGTAAGAGGAAGGGAAGAGAAGTGAAAAGGAGAAGGGGAAGAAGTGGAAGAAGAAAAAGAGGAAGAAGGGTAGGAAGGTGAAGGGAGAGTAGTAGTAGTAGCGTTCCGGAGAAGAAAGGACGACGATAGTGACAAAGCAAGAAAGAAGAAGATAGAAAGAGAGAGAAAAGAAAGTTGCGTTCCTCTGTGTGTTGTGTGCGCACGTGTGCGGTGTGTCGCGCGTGTATGGTGCACGCGTGCGCAAGTTCTGTGAAATACAAGAGTACGGATCGGATGCAGTGGTACCGCACGCGTATAATACGTAGACGGACGTGTGCATCGTCGACCGTGTCCCCGCGTGTACTTGACAGTGCGGAATCAACAAGTGTCGCCGTTTAAATATCAAATCCCCCGCCAACTTCTATCTTTCAATTTCTTTTCGTTTTTAAGGATAAGACGATTTACGGAAAACCACCAACTGTTTCTTCTTCTTCTTCTTCTTTTTAGAATTGCTTTATTTACTATTTAACTAACACGGGGAAATAGAAAAAGTAGTTGATTTTCATCACGGAAACGTTGTGATCGACGCTGACACCGGATAGGTCCGTTACACGTCGTCGATCCTACCAAGTGGCCGTGGATGGCCACTTTCGTCGGCATCTCAAGATGGAAGTCGTCTATATAGGTAAGTATTACGACGTTGCTCATGTCACATATACTATCTAATTTATTATTTCATTTTTGTTGTTGCTATTAATTGAAAATTGTTTATCATTATTGTCGTTGGGTGTTTTTATAAACGATGATTTTGTATTTATTTCGTTTGGAAATGCGGAATGCGGAATTGTGTTGTCATTTCTTTTTTTATTTAAAATCGTATAAAAAGGCAACTATTTTTATAATTTTTTTGTAATTATTTGAGATCACTTTTATTTGATTTATTATTTTATTTCTTTCGTACGCAAATCGTATATTATAATTGTAATTATAAGATTTTATAAATACATCTTATTCAGGACGTTCTTGTATTTATTTGAGATTATTTTCATATCATTTGAAAATGCGGAATGTGGAATATATGTCATATATGTTTTGATTTATTTCATTTGTTTTTAATTTATTATTTTTCAAATAAATAGGTTAAGTTTGTCAGCAATGTTTACTAATATTATACATTATCACCAACTCGTGTTCATTCTCATATTCTGTTTCGATAACGGTATAATCTAATTTTAAGTTAACGTCGAGGTTTTGCGTAACTTTGGTTCGTACTTTTTTTTATATTTACCGCCATTTCTTCTTTTCTTTTTTTAATTCAAACGTGCTAAATTTTTCGCGCCAATTTTCGTTATTTTTTAAGAGAATTTTCTTTTCAAAGTGGCAGTTCTGGTGTTTGTAATCCTTTTTGTTCGAAATTAAAGGAAGTTTCAATTTAAACGATAGTATATATTTTATCTTATCTATAAACCTTTTGTTCGCGTGACACGTGAAATGCATATGTCAAGGAGAACGGTCAATGTACGAGCCTTATACTGATGATAATTCATGTTATAACGAACGTGCTTTAAAAAATGTAACAATTATTATTAGATTCTTTTTTTCTCGTGTTACTATTATTTTTATATGTTAATTTAAATTATTGTATTTTAGATAAATATACGAATATTATTTATGATTTAGTTTTTATAATTACGATCGTTTAATATTTATTTTTATTATCATTTTTATGATAATTGTGGTAGGTTCGAAGGCTTGAAAAAGGTTCATTTCAAGTTTGTCCATTGTAATATTCTAATTTCTTTGATAAACTTTTTATAATAATGACAGACAGAGAAACGTAATAAAGTATGATTTAATAATATTTCAGGATCGAAAGGTAATACTTAATCATTGAAATATTACATAATGGAAGCTAAGAAATGATATTATTTGTCTTTGAATTTCTCATGCCTGGTGTGCCTTTCTGTAACTCGAGAAATCGAGTCTGAAAGAATTCCTGTAATCTTCTAGCGTGAAGGTTTTTATCAAGCCAATTGTTTACATTTATTTTAAATCATTTTTATATCTTGTAATAGATATCTCATCAAGGAGAGAGATAAAACATATTTCTAATTGGTCAACATATTGATTTCATATTAATCTCTATTAATATAAAAAAAAGTAAGGTAATTTCTCATTATCTTTAATTTACATGTTTATTTTTTTAAATATTTATTTTATTTACATAAAAATTTTAAAAACTATATATATATATATACCATTTATATTATTTGTGTTAATGCGTTTGAATAAAATTGATGTACCTTTTTTTTAGTAAGAGATTAACCATTATATTTTGTAACGAAGCATTAAAATAAGCATCATCTTTAAAAGAAGCGCATGTCGCAGGCTAGATTTACGATCGGTGATGTAATACAAGATACTGACATCATACCCAACTCTTTTTGTATTTTAACTGGATTCATGGAAAGGAAAAGTTAAAATATAGAAATGTACATGCTTAGGAGTGTAGGATCAAAATAGCTCGCATTTTGTTGAGTATAGGGATCGATAGGTGTGGCATGTGATTCTTTGTCAGATCGATCCAATTCCATTATGTACCTATACAGAAATATATGTATATATATATATACACACACCTATCTCTTCCTTCCCCGATTCTGTTGGATTTGACTTTAAATCGCGTAATTATCAAAATCAAATGACTATCTTGAAAACGTGTTTAAAACTAGAAATACCTACGATTATATTATATCAGTCAAAATAACACAAATTTTAATTAAATCAAAATGAATTTTACTTTAAAAACGTGTTTAGTATTAGAAACATCTGCAATTATATGTCAGTCAAAATAACATTGTCGCAAATATATGTCACCAAAAAATAATTAAGATGATTTTGAATTAAATATAATACGAAATTACAAAAATTCAAATTTTTACTTAATGTTAATTTAGAATAGAAACAAAATATTAGTGTCATATCATATATATAAACATTTAATATATTTATATTAAAGTATATATTATGTATTTTATTTCATATTAAAATATTAATAATATTATACATACTAATACTATATAAGCGGATAAGACTAATCATTTTGATTGGTTTTAATAGTTCTAGTATTAAATAGTTACAGATAGGTATAACATGGTTGTTAAATAGTATCGTGGCTGTGATAAAGATGTTAACGTTATCACCATTAAAGAGTTACTTTCAATTATTTCAAGATCGTACGTAAGGTAGAAAATATTTGTCGAGTTTTATCAGGATCGTATAATGAAACGCGATACTACTTTGTATGTTCATCGTATGAGCAACGTAGGATCACCGATGGAACTTATATAGGTACATATATATATAAACTACTGCCGTCTCTAAGTTCAAAGTCTTCGAGTATGTAAGTAGTATGTAGAATAGTATATACCTGCATTCTACTTACTGTGGTGCACTTCTCTAGTGCAATAACGTGAATGAATGCGATATAATACTAATGCGGTAGCATATAGTAAACGATACAGTCGCTGATGTAACGCGAACCGATTAAACGAATAGAATCGAGTTAAGAAAAAGAAAAGAAGAAAATAATAGAGAAAACACCTCTTCATTCAAACAACCATTCCATTATTTCAATAAGTAGAAAAGAGTATACTTGACTCTTTGTATGAACACATAGTACAACATCTTTTTTTGTGAACACTTATAATTAGTATTTTTTGTTATTTTTGTCTCTCACTTTCACGACTTGTAACGTAATACTATGTTATCTTTAAATTACCATTGTAATAACCATTCGTCAATTTTTTAAAACTAAAATTTGCATCAATTCGTTTTGTTTATTGAAATTTTTTATAAGTATCACACGTGATAAAAAAGAATATATTTTTCTTTTTATATTTATACAAATTCATAAACTTTTGGATAATTATATATACGATATTTAGATGAACATCTTGTAAAATTGTTAATTTAAGTAGCATACAGAAGCTCGCATAAAAAACGGTGCTAATTTCTTCATCAACAGTTTCCATTATTTGTCTGTTAAATATGATATAATTTAAATGGAAAGTTGTATATATATTTTTATATTTAGATTGTCAATCATCAGCAGAAACATCACGTTCTCACTAGGATCGTTTAAAGTATATAAAAAAAGAAGGAAGAAGAAAAAAGGGTAGAGAGTTCAGTAAATGTAACGTTAAACGTCGTTCACTTATAATGCAACCTTAATCTGAATGCGGAAGTATTGGATCTAGTAAGGAGCTGCGTTTGCACCTGCGGTTTTCTATCAAAGAATAATCTAATCGTTCTATCATACACAAGATATCGTTTAGATCGAGCGTGAATAATTACTTACCTAACTAGAAAATGTTCTTTTCTTGCGTTAAGATGAGAGTCTCTTACATAGTAAACTTTAGATCTATATATATATATATATACATACATGGTATAGTCTAAGCTACCTATTCTATTTACGAACGAGTTTACATTTACATATCTAATGAGGCGTTAGTTTCTCATGCATGGCAATTCTACATGCGAGATCTTCGCGACATCGAAATCCTGCACACCTCCTGTTTAACACTTTTATCGCTGATGCTACTGAAACAAGATCGTTTAGCTTAACATCGTATACAATTATAAAAAAAAATATCTATTACTCACAATTAGTATTGCAGTGGTCGATTGTTTAAATAAAAACTGTGATAATATACAAAATATTGCTTATAATTTCTATAGAAAAATTGTCAAAAATATTATGACAACGTGAAAGTTATGGTATTATTTTTTTATAGGGATATAATTAAATTATAGAAATTTATATATATATATATTTTTTAATATTTTAAACTTGGGACATGAAGTAGGGATTAATCTTTTGGTTATAAAATTAATTGCAGTTTAGAAAATGATAGATGTGCACGAGAGTGGATTGAAAAGTTTTGAGTCACAACAAAGAAAGAACCTTTTAATTTCTTTTTTAATTAAATAAAGAAAAACAATCTATAAATTCGAAACATTTGTTATTCGGTTCGTGCAGGTGGCCAATAGTTTTGATCTCAATTAAAAGATTTGTAAAATTTAAAACGATCGGTTAGTTTATTACTATGAACTTTTTAGGGTCAATTAATGTCAATGCGATAGACGACGAATCGGGTTTGCGTCGGTGTTGGTAACAATAATAATTCCGCGATAGAATGGAACATTTGAATGGATCTTAAAGTTTCACGCGTTGGTGATAATAATATTTAGTTTGTTATCGTTTTATCCGAACACGATGAACGTTACTTTTTTAATAAGATGACCACTCTCACGTAATTATCTTGATAAGTCATCGCAGTTTATACGCATATTTATGCACATGCGTGCGCGTGTAGCGAGCGAGCGTACATGTTGTGTGTGTGTGTGTGTGTACATATTATACATAAAACGAAACTCACCATGATCTCGTAGTAGCTGGAATTCTTGACAAATGGTTGCTTGAGATATACGAAGTTTACAATCAACTCAACGCACGTTAGAAGCATTCTAACATTCGTTCCGGATGATTACAATTTTCTCATAACCGCATTTGGTTAAAAAAAAAAAACCATATTCTGTTTTTTTTTTCCTTTTTAATATATCCCTCTCGTATCTTTCGTGTCGATCTTCGAGATCTTTTTCTTTTTTATTATAGATATTATCAAAAAGGAAACACGATATGAACGCTTATGATAACACATTTATCTGAATGTTAATTATTCTTTTCTTCTTATTCCAGATGAACGAGAAGACGTGCAGAAGAAAACTTTTACGAAATGGATCAACTCGCAGCTGCTGAAGGTGAGTGGTTCTTTTTTTTTTCTTCTTCTTCTTCTTTTTAACAATCTTATAATAAAGTACGAAGAAAATAATTTTATTAGATCTTTTTATATTGGGGGAAAAAAAAAAATCAAGATGATCAGGGGTGGGGGGGAGGAGATAGATAGATAATTATTGTATTTCTGTAGGCAGAGAAGTATCTTTTAAGAATGAATGTATTTTTTTTTTTTTTAATGAACATTATACACGCAGTAACTAGTGATTGGTTGTTGTCCTCGTTTATCAAGGCCGCCCACGCTACTGTCTTGTAGCATGAGAAGATTGGAAATCAAATATTATTGGAGTTATGAACTACGTCACGATTACTACTGAATCTCATGCGACAATCTTACTATCGCGAATTCAAAATCATAATCATAACGGATAGGATCTATAAAAGTGTTTATACATTGTGCTCTACGTATTAATTGTATTTTATTATCTTTGCGTATCATCCTTTTTACGACAAAAATTGAACATTTCGAACAGATTGTTTTTTCAGAAAAAAAAACAAAAGAAATAAAAACGAATTTTCTTGTCAAATTCTAATAATAAGGGTACATTAAAACACAAGCCTATACTTTAATATACTTTTATTTAAAATATATTTTATTTACATATAAAAAAAAAAAAAAAAGAAATCATTCCGATCGATCATGGGTAGTGCAACTAATTACATATATTTTGCTTTTTATCTCGGTGAAAATAAGAGACCTTGAATTACATATTTATCTTTATTTTTCACAGAATCAGCACGAACCGATATCCGACCTGTTCGTCGATTTAAGAGACGGAAACCGGCTTCTGTCCCTCCTGGAGGTACTCACGTCGAAAGTTTACGTAAGTGCTTACAACGATTGTATTACATGTCCGTGAAAGAATCGTTTCGAAAAAAAAGTCGAAATACTTATATATTATATATTACAAGTACATAGGTCTTTTCAAATGATAATTAATAATATTCGTTTTCTTCGTGAAGGGAGTGGGGGAGGGGAGGGGGGAGGGCGAGGTTAGTGGGGGGAGGACGGGGTTTCTTTTTTTTTATTCTTTTTATTAACCTTTTCTTTACCTTTTTATCTTTCATCGTAAAATGACCATCTTTGCTTCGAGGATTATTATCCTGATGACAGTTCACTGGCATACGTTTAATTACGTTCACGTCAAGTTTTTTTTTAAAAGGATACGAGTTTCATCCATCAAAGATACTTATTTATTCCCGTTTTTTATTTGTAGTAGTGTAAGTACTTCTTTTGAAAGGGAAAGAGGACAAAAAAGAAAAGAAAAAGAAAATAAAGATACGTGTGCCGTCTTGTGTCTTTTTCTAGTTCACGCAGGTGTTTATACTTTTAACTGGCAGATGTATGCACGTGGAACCAGGCGACAGCTAATTTTTTTCAAGTTCAAATATTTGTAGCATGAAATTTTAGAAAATATAAACGTCCCACGTTAGCATAGAAATTTTGTTTTATTATAACATTTAATAATGTCAATTTTATGTTAATTATTAGAAAACAAAAAATAAAGAAAATATATAAGTGAGTTATTTGAATATTTAATTATATATAGGAATGAATATAAATAATTCCTGCATGACGTATTTAAAGTAATGTTAATATTTTTAGATGATATAAAAATGTTTCCTTATGCATATTAAGCTATTTAAAAATCTAAAAAACTTTTCAATCCATCATCGTACGTCTTCGTACGTTCGATTTAATCATATAAATTATTTCGAATGTTCTCAGTACTTGTTAGTATAGTTGTAATAGTTGAATGATTGTACAGATCTATAACGATACGCATTTCAACATACACAAATCGTCTTTATTAATTAGAGTAGGAACATTTCTCTTAGCTGACTGTACGCTAGTCGTTTCTCTATTCATTTAATTGCGTGAGTAAATAGAAGACGAGTCTCCCTCCATAAATGATCTTATTGTCGAGATAAATGTGTTCTAGATTATTTTAGTTTTAAAAAAGAGGCTTCAAAGAAATATATATGTATATTTTTTAGTCCTATTTTTATAAGAATTAATTGGAATCATTTAAAAAATGGAATATAAGATTTTAAAAATTTCTTACGTTTAGAAAAATATTGTGTTATGACGTAATTAATAAATTTCTTTTTTTTTTTTTTTTTGATTAATATATACAAGTATGAACATTATTTTCAGAAAAGAGAACGCGGTCGTATGCGAGTTCATCATCTCAATAATGTTAATAAAGCATTGCAAATCCTCGAACAGAACAATGTAAGTTTTTATTTAAAAAAAAAAAAAAAATAAAAAGAGTATCGAATATATTGGATAAATATAATTTTAGGTGAAGCTTGTAAATATTAGTAGCAATGATATCGTAGACGGTAACCCAAAATTATCACTTGGTTTAGTATGGAGTATTATTTTACACTGGCAGGTATGTCATTAAAATAATTATCAATTTTTCCATAATTTTGGGAAAAAGATTTTATATTTGTTTTTAAATTTTAATTAAAAATATTTACTTAGGTACATTATCATCTAAAAGATTTGATGACGGAATTACAACAAACGAATTTAGAAAAGACTCTCTTAGCATGGTGCAGACAAAACTCTCAGGTAAAATATCGTTCGTCCGTAGAACTAGTTACTAGTTGTATTAATTCAGTTTTTGTTTTGTATTAAAAATATATTAAATTCGCTTTTAGAGTTACCCTGGTGTCGACATTAAAAATTTTACAACTTCTTGGTCAGATGGATTAGCGTTCAATGCACTTTTACATCGTTGCAAACCACAATTGTTTGATTTTAATGCTATTTCCCGAAAACATCCTAATGCCAGATTAGATCATGCTTTTCGTTTTGCTGAAGAACATCTTAGAATAGAACGACTCTTAGATCCGGAAGGTACTTGAGTTACTACGATCAATAATTTTCTTCATTTATGTCATTTTATTTGTATTTTCTTTTTATTTCTTTATTGTATTCGTTAATTATAGATGTGAATACGTCGGTACCGGATAAGAAATCAATAATGATGTACGTAATGTGCTTGTTTCAATGTTTAACTCAATCCGGAGACGATACCGGTGATTTGGATTTATCGATTACGAGTGATAGTAGTCCTGTTACAACACCAGGCACTGAGGTACGCTTAACACTAAATTTACCAACAATTCAAGTACCTATTTGTACAGTAACCGGTCAAATGATCGTTTAACAAAATATTTATTATGTACAAGTGAGTGCAGATAATGAATTATACGAATCTTGAACTAGTCCATTTGGTACTGGGTTATAATTAAACAATAAAATAATATTTCTAATTATAATTGTGTTATAAATTGTAAAGAAATAATTTTAATTCGAAAATTAAAATTGGTCATTTATATTATCAAGAATCATCGAAACGAATCAAAGCGATTGTTAATTATAGTTAAATGAGTTTCTAAATACTTATTTTTCTTTTTTAATATCTAAATTGACATATTGAATAGATATTTAAAAAGAAAAAGCTTTATACGAATAAAAGTTTATTTTTTCTTTATTTAGGAGAAAAAAAAAAAAAGACGAATAATTTTTACTGCACTCTTATAGAAATAATTATAAATACGTTTTTGGTAATATTAGTGTTAATAAAATGAAATTTGTTGGATGCAATTAGGGAATGCGATTAGATTAGAATATATTTCCATTATAGAACACTTTAACTTTGTCAACATTTGGAGCGCCAACATTTGGAATGCCAACATCACGTCCGATGAGTCTTGCGACGAACGTTTCCGTTGAACTCGGTGGTTATCAGGTCGCACTCGAGGAAGTTTTAACGTGGTTGTTAGAGGCCGAGGATAAGTTGAATCATGCGCCGGAACTCGGTACGAATTTGGAAACGTTGAAGCAACAGTTTCACGATCACGAAGCATTCTTGATTGAATTGACGGGACATCAGGATGGGGTAGGTGCTGTTTTGGAAGAAGGTGCGAGATTGTTAGCCGAGGGTGGTTTGCACAAGGACGAGGAACATGAAGTACGCGTTCAAATGTCCCTCCTTAATTCCAGATGGGAGGGACTTAGAATGAGGGCGATGGATACTCAAACTAGAATTCACGAGGTTCACATTTCATTCTTTTTCTTATTATTCTTTAAACCCTTATCACTCCAATTGTTTGCTCAGATTTTAAGTATCTTACTTTACTGATGTTACACAGCCAACTTGACATTCGGGCTATTTAAATTTCTGTTCAAAGTATACCTCTCTTTTGTAATGTAATTAAAATTAATTAAAAAACTATGACTTTTCAAATACATTTATTTTAATATCGAATTAATATTAAAAAATTCTCTAAACTTTCTATTCAGACAATGTCTACTATTAATGATGCATACTATAATGATTTATTTATTGAAATGCATTTCAGATATGTGAGAGTCATGCTTGGAGTGATAAGGATTATTAATAGATCTTCTTTTTCTAGATATATAATAGAATCAATAATTGTATATATAAATGATCATTGTGAATCTCAGGTATTGATGCAAATGCAGCAAGCACAAATAGATGCGCTTAGACAATGGTTGACGAAAACCGAGGATAGAATTTCTTTAATGGTTGGGATAGAATTGAATCAATCTAGTTTTGATGAACAAATGAAACGATTAAATGAATTAGAACAGGATATTAAGGCGCAACAGGATGTGGTCGATAGTATGAGAAATATTGTCGTAGTAGTTGATGAAGAAAACTCGGAGGCTGTTTATACGGAAATGGAAGATCAATTGTCAGCTTTGGGTGAAAGATGGGCACACATTTGCCAATGGAAAGAGGAGAGGCGTCAACGTCTTCAAACAATTTCTTTTCTTTGGCAAAATATTATCGATGATCATAAGAAATTAGTTGCTTGGTTAAACGAAACGGAAATTACGCTTAAACAAATGGAAGCAAATCCGGCTAGCGAGATCGGCGAAGTATTAGAAAGAATAAGAAAATTGCAAATATTAAAAATGGAAATGGATTTAAATGGAAAGAAAGTGGTATCCTTGCAAGAGTCCATCCAAGAATTGGATAATCAAAGATCATCTCCTGATAGCATTAATATGTTAGAAAAAATCGAAAATTTGCAAGATCGTTGGGACGCTGTTGGACAAATTATGGAAGTTCAAAGCCAAAGGGTAACAAATGTGCATTATTAAATTATGATGAATGTTCTAATTGAACCGTGTATTTTGATTTTATTTGATCTTCTTTTTCTTTTTTATATTTTTTATTATTACATCCAAACAATTTTAAAATATATGCAAATGATGTTTTTTACGCTTTATTATATATTTATTTATTTATTGAATTATTTTAATTTATTGATGTGTGTTAATATTTTATTTAGCGTTTTTTTTTTTTATAGCACATTTATAATTTATATGACGCACGCATATCGTGATAATATAATATTATGATGATATGTATATGTATATTTTTTTTTGTTTCAAATTTTTCTAAACGATGTAATTAATATTCGCGTGTGATTAACGATTTTGCGTGAGCGAAAAATGATTGTATTTAAAATTTCATGTTACCACATTGATCTAAAAGATATTAATATCATATATTTTTGTATTACTTTTATAATAAAATTATTATTCTCTTGATAGAATTTGCTTTCGTTTTTTTTAATTTTTTTTTCTTTTATAATTATTGTATTTGTATAAGTACGTTCTCGATGTTTTAATTATTGCTATTTAAAAAACATCTACGATAAGAGAAATTATTTATAGGTGAAATTGTGATAGAGAAAAAAAAAAAAGTGGGTAAAAAAATCGGTTGACAAATTAGATTCTAATTATTTTCTTTTGTAACGCGTTTAGATCACTAGTTCCGGTTTTGAATTTGATTTAAAATCTGAAAGGGACACGACTGTAATCAGTAATAACGAATGGATGTCGGAAACGGTAACGAGTATTGCATATAAAGAAGAAATTGCAGCAACGGTACGTCTTTTAAATAAAATATAATCACACTTGTGTTATATCGTTTATATAGTAGGAGATTATTCTGAATTAGTTTGATTACTTTAGTCGACGCCACAGAACGATATGAAAAAACGACGTTTAGATAATACGACCAAACACGAATTTGAATCGGCATTACTTGGGCTTTACAAATGGTTGGATTACGTTGATTTGGAAATTGGCCGATCGGAGGGTGTTTTTGATGAATTAAGTGTTGACGAAAAAAAAGTTGTCTACGAAGATACTTTGGCAGATATTGAATTGCACAAAAGCGAATACGACAAAGTTCTCGAATTGGGAAAAAGATTAGTCGAGGAATTAGAAAATACGAATGAGTCAAGTGAAGATGCGAGAAAGAAATTAGAAGATATTCAACATTGTTGGTCGGCCACTAGTAATCGTTTACAAGAAATTAAAAATCGTATAACATATTTGGAAGAAATCAAAAAATTTCGTAACGAGTTGGATAGCTTGAATATGATGTTAGATAGTTATACCAAATGGTTTGAGATTAATAAAGCTAATAATCAAATAGATATTTTCAGGGTAAGCAAAGGTACTTCTTCGCGTTAACAATGATTTTATTTATTTACGTCAAATTAATATTGTTGTTGTTGTTGTTGTTGTCTATTTAATTAGGTAAAAATGAAATCGATGAAATCACACGACGAACGTGTTAAAAGATTAATTGACAAAGTTAAAGAACTTTCCGAAAGTAATCACTCGGTAGCCAGTGAAAATAATAAATTAGATGCCGATACAAATACATTGTTTTCTAATTGGGAAAAAATGTTAAAATTGTAAGTCTAACTTGCGTATTAATTAATAGAATATTTGTTGTATTCATTTATTATTTATTACAAATATAATATAAATATTAAACTTTTAGATTATCCGATCGTTTAAACGAAATAACAGATAAAATCGAAAAAATTCCACCTAAGAAATATACTGAATCTATTACGAATCTGATGACATTCGTTAATAACGTCGAAAGTTTATTATTATCCGAACATACTATAATATCTGATAAAAAGATTATGGAAGAACAAGTTAAAAAATTCCTAGATCTTGCTAACACATTGAAAGAATATCAAGATATGTTTGATTACGTTAATTCAACGGGTCACGAATTAATAACTAAAACTACAGACGATACTCAAGCGCAAAAATTGAGAAATGAATTACAAGATCTTAATACTAAATGGAGTGACATTCCAATAATATTGGAAGAAAGACAACAAAACCTTTTAAGAGGTAATCACACGCAAATTCATTGAAATGAAATGATTATTAATATTGTAAATTAAATATTATATTATTTTCGTAGATATTAAATTATTAGAAACGTTTGACAAGGAACTTTTAACGTTGGAAAGTTGGCTTGATAAATCTATGGGACATATAGCAGTAGAAATGTCAAACAACACTGATTTAAATGATATCAAAATGACGGAATATAAATTAGAACAGATGCGAGCATTTTCTCGAGAAATAGACGAAACTAAACCGAAAGTAGAGATACTTCAAATATCAACAAATAAATTACTTGAAATATCCGAGCCTAACTTTGCCAGTGTATTGAATAACAAAGTTGAAGATATTTCGTGCAAATGGAATATGGTCACGGACGACGTTAAAAGTTTGATTGATAAATACGAAGCGGCTTTAAAGAAAAACGACGAGGTGAGTTAAATAATTTCATTGTTTTTTTACTTATAAATTTGATTGAAATACTTTTAAATCATTTGAACAATCAGATTGTGAACGGAATAGACGATTTTACTAAATGGTTATCGGATTTGGAGAAAGAAATACCAGCAGACATTAAAATAACGTCATCGGTTGAACTATTTCAAGTTCGCGGTCGATATCAGACTTTAAAGGATAAGATTGATAAACGCGTTGAAGAATTTAGGAATTTAAACGAAATGGGAAACGACAAACTTTTAAGTTCGGAAGGTTCATCCGTTAAAGAATTAGGAAGAAGATTTACTTTCTTAAATGCACGCTGGACCGATGTCACGGATCGGATTTATGAACGTTATAGACATTTACAAAATGCTACACACGAGTACGGCGAATTTCGTGCTTTGGTTGCTCAAGAGAATGATTGGTTGGATAAATTAGAAAAGAGATTAAAAAAATCAACGAAGTGTGCTGCCGACGCGGAAGAAATTTCCGAGGAACTTGACGTAAGTGTTTCACAATTTATTTTTATATAAATATAATTCTTATTATTATTTATTACATTTTTCAAAACAAAAAAAGTCACACACATTAATATAAATATTTCGTAAATTTATTCAATCAAAAGGATCTTGAAAATTATATAAGAAATCATCCAGAGTCTAGGCAAGAAAAAATTCAAGAAATTGGTAAGCAACTGGTTGATAGTAATATCATGACGCAATCCATACAAACGGACGTAGAAGCTTTAACCAATCGTTGGGAAAATCTAAATGGACAGGTACGTTCTTTTTCTCTTTTCTTTTCTTATTTTTTTTTTTACAATACATATGTGTCTCACCAATATCAGCGATATTAGTCAATGGTCAATGATGAATTGTAAATATATGTTAAAAAGAAGCTTGGAATGTTAAAACAAAAAAAAAGAAGGAAAAAAAAACAAATGTGCAAGAGAGAAAATTGTATTAGAATAGAATCTAACCATCGTATATGAATACGTTTATAATCGCATGGAATCATACGGTATGCTGTGAATTTTACGTTAAAAGAAATAATAGTTCTACTAGTGTTTGTAATAACGAGAAAAAAAAAGAAAGAACAATGGTGAAAAAATATTAGATTTGTTTGATGAAAAGAGTTAAGCAGAAAGATAGAGTTTTACTTTGAGTAGGCAGGTCAACGAGCGAAGCTGTTGGAAGGATCGGTGAAACAAGCGCAACAATCGGAAGGCCGAATTCTTGCTCTTCAGCACTCCTTAACGCAAGTAGATTCTGTACTAACTGCACGTCTTGACTGCGATCTCACTGCCGATGATTTGCCACATGATTATCAGGTCTGTTTTCTATATTGTTTCTTTCTATGTACACTCAACTCTCATATAACACGGATTAAATTAATTCCATGTTGTATCTAAACAAAACAATATGCAGATGAAAATATTCGTTTAATCGAATTAATGTTATATCGAAACCGTGTCATATATTGAAATGTGTGTTATAAGAGAGTTTATTTAATATGTATGTGTTTTATGTTATATTACATACGTGTTCGTTATTAAATCAAATTAGTATCAGTTTCTTTTTTCTTTTTGGTTGCTAATTAATTATTGGTGTGTTTTAACAAATTATACACAATCTCCTTATTATTTAATGCTTTATATTTAATACACGTTTTCGCGATAGATAAGCGTGTCAATTTGTGTGCAGAATATAATATTTTATTAATAAATAGCATGAAATGTTAAAATTAATTTCTGTTTAAATTAAGCTTCGTTATCGTATATATATATATATATAGGGGTCAATTTTTAGAGTTTTTATAATATATATAAATAACTTACTCGTTAGCAGATACGATTGATTGTCTACCATTTTTTTTTTATCCGTCTTATTCTCGCGTAAAATTTTATCGATTTATTTTTATACGTGTAAATATACGATATTCTCACAGAAATTGATGCAAGAAATGGAACATCAAAGTGCCACGCTTAAAGAAATGGCAGCACAAATTGAGACGTATAAATCGTCTGGTAAAGAAGAAGCAGCTCACAGACTCGAAGAACAAATGACTCTGATCGAGCAAAAATTTGTCGAAGTACAGAAAAAGTTTCAACGTTTTCGTTGTTCAACTAATTTGGAACCTAGATTATCTCGTGCTTTGAGAGAACTTCGAGGTATCGAAGAAGCAACGTGTTTGTTAGAATTATCATCAGAAGATCCGGAAGCTATCGAAGGACAATTAAAACATTGCTTGGTAACATTATCGGTTTAGAATATGTTCTTTTTTGTTTTCTTTTTTTTTTCATAGTAAAATTCGATCTAAAAGTTGTAAAATTAATTTCATATTTTCAGAGATTTTATCAAACTTTAAGCGAAATTAAAAGCGAAATCGAGAACATCATAGTTGCTGGTAGAAAATTAGTCGAAGAGAGGAGTGTCAGCGAGCCTGAAAAGTTTTCCAAAAAGATAGATACACTAAAAGAATTATATAATAAGGTGTATAAATCATTCGATATTGTTATTATTTTGTAATTTTAAATTGAATTTTTTTTGTATCCTCTTTTGTCTATTATTATTTTTCTAGCTTGGATTACAAATTACCGAATCGAAATCGATATTAGAAACGGCGTTAGATTTATCTCGTGATATATATAAAAGTTTGTCTTTTATGAATATTTCGTTGGATAGTATTAACAAGGAATTGGATGCACAAAAGAATATGCTTGATTTACCTGTTAATGCGATATATGTGCGGGTATGAAATTAAAAATATACAAAATAATTATTACATTGAAAATATTTCGAATAATTTTGATAATATAAATTGATGAATTATTGTTTACAATTATATAGGAAACTTTGACGGAAGTACTGCCAAAATTAAACGCGGTTAAAGATAAATTGTTAAAATCACAAGATGAATTTTTAAAACTATGCGACCCGTCTTATCTCGAACAATTGAAAGAAAAATTATCCGACGTTTTTGTTAAATTAGCTAACACGGAAAGAAGGTTACGTCTTTGCAGTAATTCTGAGGTACATATTTTTTTTTTCGGTGAAATTAATTTCCTTGTGATTTAATGTTAGTATAATTATTGTTTTCTTTTTGTCTAAGGAGGAACCAAATGTTGATGAGATAAAGGCATGGTTGTTGCAAGTTGAAGAAAAATTCAATAGATTAGACACGATCCCGATGGAACAATTAACGGAACATCACTTCGAACAATGCAAGGTAAATAATGTCTACATTTTGTTTAAACATAACTTGAATTATAGAATGTCTTGTATTTTTTTTTTTCATTAGGCAATACAAAGTGAAATAATAGAAGCAAAGCTTAAAGTTAGTCAACTTCAACGTTATGCATTTTATCCGAAAATAGCAGAAGTATGTGATAAGTGGGAAGAAATTTCTAATAAAATCCAAGTACGTGAAAATGTTTATTATATTATTTTTTGTTTTTTTTTTCTTTTATATACATTAATTTAATTATAAATTATGAATTCATTTTAATGTGTTGTTATATAGAATTTTTGATTGGAACGTTTATCATGCACTGCTTATTCACTCATGGCTTTTTATATACCTTGCTTTACACTTTTTTAACGTTTGGTATATGTAATGCTTGTGCTTACTATAGTACCATTACGTATATCTTTTACAAAGAATTTTTTTTCTTCTAATTAATATGCATTAAAAAAGCTCTATTTTTGTCATTAGTAGTAGAATATTTAGATTTATAGGGATGAAAGAGAGGATTACTTAGCTTGCGTACAATGAATTTTTCGTATCATACTAAACGTGTGTTATATTATTAAGGGTATCGAGACAAATTTTGTGTTCTTGTGTACAAAAAAATATATAAAGAAGCTGATTAAAAATTTGTTAAAAATTAGAAAAAAGAAAAAAAAAAAAGTAAGAAACGGGGTAATCGTATATAATATACATTTAAAAAATAATTGCTTTAATACAAATGAACCAAATTTTTATCTATATCCTTAATAATGTATGTTAGAATTTTATGCGCGCCTTTTTCGTTTTATTTTCATCACAATTTATATATTTTCGACTCCATTATATATATTGTATATAAGATTTCGATCTTACATTATAATCAAATTTTATTTATTTGATCGTATGCAAATATATATATAAATATAATTAAATCAATAAAAAAATATATGTATCAATTCGCTTATTGATGTCGTACCGTCCAAGAGGTGGCTCTGCCTATGTAAATAATGTATTATGCGATTTGTACGATTTTTGTACAAATCATTTGGTGAATGGACAATATTATTACACGTATCTGCCATCATTATTTACGATATATATATATATATATACAATAAATATTTTTTGTCTCTCCCCTTTTATCAGGATTTTTCTTAACTTGATGAAGAAAAATTTGGGAAGAAATGTTACGATAAAAAAAAGAAACAAAAAAAATAATTATGAAAATAAAGTTAAACTCTTCTTCTTGCATCGGTGATGGATAAACGCAAGGATTTCGGCTTTTACATACTCGCACAATGAAATAAACGCATTGTTGCTTATTACTACACATCTATATACTTGGTTATGCTTATTTTGATATTGTCACTTCATTAACATGCTCCTATCTAAATCTAACAATCATTATCATCATTATCATCATCATCATCATCATCATCATTTCCTTCATGAAACCATTTTACGTATAATATTTTCACAGGAACGGATCTACTCAATGAAAGACAATTTATTACTGAGAACTAAGAAAAATAATATTAATAACAACAATCATAATAATAACAACAATAATAATAATAATAATAATAGTAACAATAATAATAATAATCATAATAGCAATAATAATAATAATAATAATAAGGGGAGAGACAATAACGGGAATGAAAAATTATCTAGAAAATCCGAACAAAATTCAGTATATTTAGTTAAAAAAGAAACAACATTGTTGGATGAGAACAATGAAGTGTATGGTATCGGTTATTTAAATCCTGCATTTGACGACAATCAATGTACGATTATACGAACGCCTGAAAGTTCACCTATAGAAATTCCACATCGAAGTAGAAAATCATCAACTAAATCTGACAAAGTTAAAACTAGAATCGTAGACGTTAACAAAGCTGTTAGAAGAAAATTAGACATGAGTTCGATACCCGACGTTGTTCAAACATCACAGCCACAGAATGTACACATCGATGATTTACGTGACACTCGTTTTTTGGCCTGCGATATTCCGCAAACTTGTACAACAGAAGAGGAAGAATTTTTCCTATCCAAAAATAGTACATTGTTCTTCAAAGTGTCCACAAATACTTTGACCGCTACGGAATCTAAACCGTTTCATACGTCAAACGTACAACCTAATCCTTTTCGTATCGTCGAAGTCAAAGAAATGGAAATAGTTAAATCTGTTGCTTCTCCTGAGGATCACGTTATTTTACCAAGTGCAAATGTCAGCGCAGGTCTATTACCATTGGCTGTTGAAAGAGTTGAAATAGTTGAGGATACAGAAACAGAACCAGAATCTATAGACACTGATACGGAAGATAGAGAATCACGAGATAAAGTATCAACTGCGGTTGGCTTAAATACTAGTGGAATTGTTGCTAGGAAAAAAGAATTGATACCGATTTTGAAAAAGAAAAAATCTGGTAATGAACCGAGCAAAGGATGGAATGTTAAAAAACTTACTCTTAAATTGGATAATACCAATAACGAATCTAATTCGGGTAATTCGAACGTTCAGAATACTTTAGAAACTAGAACGAATTTGATTGATAAATCTCACAAATTGGAAACAATTGCGAGTCGTTCGTTGAAGGATAAAGAAAGCGTTGCGGAATATTTGATTCTTGATGATACCTTGAGAAAAAGTGATAATAATAAAATGGTCGATTTTCACGAAGATACGATTAAGAAAACTAATGAAATTGAAATGATTAAAAGGCCGACTTGTGATCTTGAGAAATTACAATACAGAAAGTCGCCATTATTGAAACGTATCAGGAGTTTCTCGAAAGATGATACGTTGGAGGATTGTGACAGTTTTTATGGAAGCGACAAGGAAACTGACGATGCATTAATATTTTCAGACGATACTGAAATCGATGTAGCTAGTTCTAGTTCCGAAGGAGAAGATATTAATTCGGGAGAGCATGTTGAGCACCTCTTGGACAAGGTAATTTTAAATGGTCAACTGGTCAAACCATATTGGCTAAAAACATGTAACGCGTTTTTCCATCGTTAGGTTAACAAATAATCATTTGTTAATAATAATAATAATAATAATAATAATAGTAATAATGATAATAATAATAATATTTTATAACATGCGTTTTTATTCTATTTCTAATTATTATTAATAATATTTCGCATAGGTTTATCGCTACGATTTAATTCTCCTCATTTTTCGTTTAACATTTAAAACATTATTTTCATTAAATTAACATTTTCTTTTGATAGATAAAACTTGAACATTCGCAACAGGTATTGCCACAAAAAACTGAACAGAAAACTTACTCTGAGAAAAGATCGTATGGTCATTTTTCAAATTCGTCACGAGCTAATATAGAAAAGAAAATTTTAGAATTTGAAAGGTCGGCACAATTGATGTTAAATAGAATGGATGTTATATTGATGACTATTACTAGCATCAGTAACGAGAAGGATCCTACCAAACGTCTTGAGGTTCGTTTTTTTAATTTAAATTTTTAAACAATTAATCCTAGCGAAAATTACTTCGTAAAAATGAGTACGTAAATTAAAAACATGTGAATATAATTTAAGGAAAATTTTTATTCAATAAAAAAATAAAATTGCATTCGTAATTTTATACGAATGATTGATTATCTGGATTTAAAAAAAAAGATTTTATCGTATTTTTAAGTAATTATTATTATCATTAAATTAATTTTGCAGACACTTAAGAGTGAAATTAGTATGCTTGCTCCCGATGCTGCTGCATTGATTAGCAAAGGTGATGGTTTAGTTATGACAGTACACACCTTGGATCCTGTACGTGCAGAAAAAATAAATAATGAACTTCAAGATAAATTAAGAAACAAGTGGCATCAAGTGATGACCGAAACCGAATCACGACGTATCCAAGCTCAAAGAGCTGAGGAAGTATTAAGACAATACAACAGAATACTTTTGGAATTTGAAGAATGGTTCAGAGACGTACCACAAAAATTAGAAGAGGCCAACAATTACGAGGGACAACTGGAATCGTTTACTGTCGAATTTGATGCCAAACAAGAATTAATTCATAAATTTAATGAGTTGAGCGTTGAATTGAAGAGATTGAACGTTGCATTTTCGGAAACTACTCGTTATAATATTAATGCCAAGTGGCAAGAAATTAGTTCGCAATTTAAAAGATACAGTGGTAGCAAGGATAAGGATAAACACGTGACTGATAAGAAAATGGAATTGGTAAGCATATTGAAATGAAATGCATTATGTATTGGGGGTTGATTCGAAAAATTCGTGTCAATTAAAAAAATATTCTTTTAAATATATATATATTAAAATATAAAAAATATAACTTTTGAATTTTTTTTTTAAGAACTACGCGAAATACAATATTGTTTTATTTTTGTTTAGGATGTTGGAGGGCCAAATACGCAAAGTATAATAACGAGAGCAAATAAAATAAAGGAAGCAACATTGACAGTGTCAAGATCTTTAAATTCTGCACCATTGAATGGCAAAGACTACGAGTTATTTAATAATCAAGAAGAGTGTTTGAAAAAGATAAACAACGCTATAAATATACTTAAAACAAACTTGGACGAGTTGAGTTCAGCTTCGGAAAATATTGCACGTCAATCGAAGAAGGAACAAGTAGAACATATTAAGTGTTTGATCGAAAAATTGCATGCTGATTGGAACAGCATCAACGAACGTTATATCGAGAGATATAATCGTTGGAATAAATGCTACGAATTGTGGAACGAATTTCAAAATATGTGTCGCGCATTTTCCGACTGGTTGGAAAAAAGCGAGGACGCATTAAAAAAATTACTTTCCTTGCCTCATTCGAAAGTATCGAAAACGAAAATGTATGAACTCGAGCAAGAAGTTTCTCGCATGCAAAGAACCAAGAATAATATCAGTGCTTCCTATGCTGACATATCGAGCCGTGCTTCTTCCGAAGATGTTGCTGAGTTACATAACACGATGGAGAATATCAAACATAAGTGGAATCGTTTGTTGACTGAAATCAATGCATACAAGGAAAGGTACGCAACAGGTTTTTCCATTTAAATCATATCTTTTTTTTCATTCAGTATTAAATTTAATAAAATAAATCAATTATTTTTATGATATCGTATAAATATTTTTATATGATGCACGAATACGTAGAGAGGATGTTTTATTTTTATTCCAGAAAACTTCGTAAGCATTCTATGATTAAAAAACAAATTATACGTTTTCGTTTAGAATTGCATTCATTGTAATTATTAAATAAAATCATTTTGTTTTTTTTTTATCACTTATGGTAACAAATGTTATTTATTTTTGCAGGAATTTGGCAATCGAGAAAAAAGTTTCAAGCGAGGGTAGAATTACAAAGGCTACTTATCACGTCATTGAACAAGTTAATTCGTTGCTATTGTCTATGGCTAATCCATCTGATGAAACATCACTTTCGATTAGGTTGTCCTTGATCAAGGTACTTTATTATTTTTTAATAAATTATTAAATTTTTTATGTAATCATAAAATATGAATATATGTATATAATAATATAAAATCGTTAGAATTTTGTAATGAAATGTTTGATCGATTTTCTGCAATAACTCTGGTGAATAATTTAATGCATTGTTATAATTAAAAAGAAGTATGATACGTGAATCCTAATAATATCTTCAAATTTCATGAGTTGACTGCGCAAGCGAAAGTGTGCCAAGATATAAATAGTATTAAACTCTCACTCCTGTTTATCTTACGTATGCACCTTACCGATGCATGTTGTTTCTTTATATTTGTCTCGTTTATTAATTGTAAACGTGCATATTGGAAAATATCGATCGTTAATTAAAAGCGTGGACAAAATTTATTTTTTTATTTCAAGGCCAGAGAGGAAGAACTTATTTCGAGGAAAAGAGATACACAGGTACTTATGAGTCAGCAAAGTAGTCAACGCGGGGAAGATGTGTATAACAAACTTATAGCTGATATGGATAAGGTATTGTATATTTCTATTTAATGTTATCATCAATTTCAGTTTGTGAATGTTTTAATAAAAATGATTTTCATTAATTAGGCAAAGTCTAATCTTTCGAGTCATCGTGAATATGTCGAAAGTAAACTAACTTCTTTAAAAAAATATATCAATTGTTTGGACACCGTAATGACATGGATTATGGAAGTCCGTACGAGATTAAATATCGCACAGGAGTTACCTCAAAACGAGAGAACCGATGTAATTAATAATATTAGGGTGAGTTTGTTCATTACACGTTAGGATGTAAAAAAAAAATGTAATTTATTTTTATGATATGTAGCTTAGCGTGGTGGATCGAGAAATGGAAGTAAAAGATGTATTGGAGAATTATACTAATTTGGAAAAGGAATGTGAAGCAGCAAAACAACCAATATCTATCGAATTACAAGAAAAATTGAAGAAATTGAGAGAAGATTGGCAATTTGTGAAGAACTTCAACGAAGGACCAAATCGAGAAGTAGTGACCATTGCATCGGATGCGGCTACTGTTGTACAACCGAAACGTGAGTAATTACAAAATTTATTATTATTAAGGAAAGAATTGAAAGAAAATTCTTTCTACGAGTACGTTGAAATAATTTTTATTCTAAAGAGATTGAAATTATTATTATTTTTTTTTTTTATAGTATTCCTTCGCGTAGTTTCTTTTTTATTACGAAGAACAAAAAATAAAATAATCTATCGTAACGCGAATAAGCCGAAACAACTTTCATTCCATCATGTATATACTTTTTTTTCTTTTGGGGATACTCTTTGTTGTTTTAGTAGTCATCTCGTGGTAGTTTTTATCGTTCCTCCTTATCGTTTCTCATCTCTTGCTCCATTTGACATGCTCAGCCGTGAAATTTCATTGGTACCGCAAGAAAGCTTCCATCGAGTCGTGGGTGGTACGTTCGTTCCGTTGCCGTGTTATACGCGTCGTTTCCTTCTGCACGTTGTACGTAGCACAACACGTACCACAACATCCCAGCATAGAGACACAGCACGTGTATGTCCTATGTAATTTGTTACGGTGGTTTCGAGCGTTGATGGGAGGAGGAAGACAAGGGGAACCGAAAGAAAGAGGCTGACTCGTTGGATGGATGGATGGGTGGATGAAATAGTGTTCTTTACCCTGTATGTGAATGAATCTGTGACCCTCCTCGTCACTCACACATATAGACAAGTTTTTCTCGTGTGTTGGACACACTTAACCCGTGTCAAGAATTACAAGATTTAACTTTTCTTCCTCTCTACGCGTTTTACCAAACTTTTTTCATTTTTTTACTGACACTTTTCAAACCGGTTGTTAGTATTCTTTTTTTTTTTTTATAACAATCTGTGATATTCTGTCTGAATAATTAATTATTTAAACAATTAATAATTTGATCGTATATGCGTTGGACTGATTTAACAAATTTTTAATTATTAATTATTAATTGATTTTCTTTTTTTTTCTTACTTTATCACAAGTAACAACGGTTTATATAATATCCTAAAGATGGATTTTTGTTTGCATACGCGCGTGGCTTGGAATACAATGGGAAATGATGAAGGATGAAGAATAACGAGCGTAAAGAGGATCGTACGTGTGAATGCTTAATGTTTCTTAGTAATCACGTTTATCCCCTTTTTCTGTTCATTCTATTATATTTGAATTTTTATCCTACACTATATTTCTTACTCATCTTTGTTTCTTTTATTGGTGTCACACACACACATCCTATTAATTAATTTATTTTCTTTTTTATTTTTCTATAATAAATTTCTATTTAAATACTATAATTGTGTGTGTGCTCCTGAAAATAGATTTCATTTCGTACTTCGTCGATAATATTTCTAGCTAACGCCATCTATTAGTAACAAATTATTATTAGGTATCATTGAAAGGTAACTAAGTTTTTAATAAATGCACATGTAAAAAGGGTTGTCTTTTAACGGGGCAGCATTGTTAAACGACGTAATAATAAAATGTATCGTTGCATATCTTGGAAAAGTACAATTTATTAACATTCTCAGACTTCAATTACGATTTAAAACGTACTTATTACGTTGTTTAAAGTACAATGAGTTATTTCCGTGCTCGTGCTTAAAAAGTATTATGATAAGATGTACGATATTAGAGATAGAGAAAGCAAAAGAAGAAAAAGAAGAAGCAGCATAGACGAGGAGTTTGAAGACGAGGAAGAAAGTACAGGAAAACTCAATGTTTCCAACTCACTGACTCGATTTAATTTCCTCTTCTTTTCTCTTTACCCCCTTACCGTTATTTCTCTCTCTCTCTCTCTCTCTTTCTCTCTCTCTTTTACTGAGAGAATTCATTAGCCTATCGCAATTAGCTTAAACGTTTCGAAGTTTTCCTTGAAGAAGTTGCACCGGTTATTATTAAATTTCAATCGAGTGAAATTTCTACGGCCAATCTCTTACATTCTCTCCCCATATCCCCCCCTTCATCCCATCCCATCCCAGTCCTCCTACTCCCTTAATGTAACGTTTAACGCTAAACCTACCATTCGGAATCAAATGACCGAGTTTTGTAATTAATAAAAATGTGATAATTCACAAAATAATTGTTAATTATTCATTTCTAAATGAAAGATAAAAATATATCGTTTTTACATTCAATTGACAAAAATCTATTATTCTATATTGAATATATGTTTTTTTTTCTTGTTTAAAACAGTATGAATAGTTATAGATAAAGTGTCGTTAGGTTTAACGTTAATACGTATTTTACGTTTTATATTTATTAATCGTATTTTTCTCGATGTTGAAAGAATTAGAACTTTCTTTATAATTAAATAAAATTATACAATTATGATTTTCAAGTGTAAGATTTCATTAACGGATCATGGTTTCTGTCTCGCTTCTTCTTTTATTATTCTTTTACTTTTTCTTCACCCTTTTCGTATAAGAGTGTTATTGCGACTGATAATGAGGTATTCGAGACTGAGGATGACTGAAGATGGAAGAAATGAATTCACATAAATCCACTCGGTGACAGACGCAACCCTTTTTATCCTTTATTTTTTCTTTCTCTCTCTCTCTCTCTTTCTTTTTCTTTTTCTAACGATTCATCATGGAATTGGCAAAAGGTTGGATAATAAACAATGGACCCTTCTCATTAACGCGATTTCAATGATAATCACATTTTTATAGTCTCGTACGGCCTGACTGATAAGAACAATGATAAGCAAACTTAGCGAGGAGAAAAGACGCGCGTGAAAATGATAAATGAATAAACTTAATTGATAAAAAGAAAATTTTCATTCATTTCCATTCGCGGTTTATATAAACTTGAAAAATGTATTGAAATGTTAATAAGAGTGAAGCAGAGAGATTGTATCGATGATTTTTCTTTGATTTCTTTTTTTAATGAAAGAAAAAAAGATAGAGAAAAAAAAAGAGACAAAGGTAGAAATAAATACGCGAGGGAAAAAGCTCTCTTCGTTCGTTGAGTTTAATGAAAAACCGAATAATTACAGTTACGTTTGCAGTGTGTCAGTATTGGTTGAATTAACTTTTATCTTTGGTCAATGGTTTATCTTCTTTTCTCTTTCCATCTCATATGCATAGATTTTGTTTTTGTTTTGTGATTGTATATATCTTTTTTTTTTTTTTATTTTTTTTTTTTTTTTTTTTTTTTTTTATATTACGTTCCGTTATTAATTACTTTCTTCGATACTTTTAGTTAAGGATTTACGACCGATTTTATTACTTAGTTTACGAATNTTTTTATTTTTTTTTTTTTATATTACGTTCCGTTATTAATTACTTTCTTCGATACTTTTAGTTAAGGATTTACGACCGATTTTATTACTTAGTTTACGAATCATTATTTGCTTTTGATTAACGCTTTTCTCCGGTTGGTTATTTTATTTGTTTGAAAATGATTAAAGTTACACTCGAATGATTAAACTTCTTTTTAATAAAATGAATTAAATTTTGTCCTTAATCAATAATTAAATCTTTCTCTTTCTCTCTCTCTCTCTCTCTCTCTCTCTCTCTCTTTCTCATATACACAGATATATTTCTTTAGTTCGTGACTTGGTTTGCAAACGAACGAACGAGTATTTTATCGACCGATCGAAAGGGTCATCGTTGAAAATAGGGTGCGTTATCCGACTTTGATGTCGAATTCGATGTCTCAATTCTCTCATGGAAACCGTTCTGAATTGGATATCGAATCGGGTGATGTCGATATTTAAAATTGGGGGGGTTTGGGTTTATAGAGATGCCAAAGAGATTCTTCGAGAATAATCTTTACGTATACGTTAGTGTTATTATTCCAAAGGATTTGAATTCGAGATATTTTTCCTTTTAATGTATAAAAATGTTATAAAGTGTTCTTATAGGAAGATGCTTACATTGTTAAAAAAAAAATAATATTCGGAAATAATCAAGATATTGGTATTAGATTTGCGAAATGCCATTACGTATTGTAATACTTTATTTTACTGAATATCATTCAACAATGGTAGATTAAATTTTTAATTAATCAGGTAAAAAAAAAAAAAAAAGGTAAATGAACAAATACAGTGAACCGTAAACATCCGTAGATCAATTTTGACCTGGATACGATTGAAGTCTCGTAAACATTGCGAGCCAACATTTCCACCAATTACTAGAAACTTTAATAAAAAAAAGACAAAACCAAGAAAAAGATTAAGAGAAAATAAAAAACAAAATATATGTGCTGTTTCCCGTCGTGTTTAAAAGCCACGTTCATTACTTTACCGACAATCAACCTGGTCTCTTTGTGTATGTAGTAGAAGAAGGAGAAGAGAGTATAAGGGGGATATGAAGGGTGGTAGAATGAGGATGAGAAAGATAAGGGGGGAGGAGGATTTGGTAGGAGAGATAGAAGCAGGTTAAACGCAGGCACAACTACAGTGTCCAAGCTTGTAATCTGACTTGGTGGTGAGTCGTCTGGTTGGTCAGAGTAAAACGGTCCATTAAGACAGGGTAGCAGTTAGTGGGCACGCCATAGGAAACAACCAGCTTGCTAATGCGTTCCGAAGAGAACCAACCCCTCACCCCCTCGCTACGTAAGAGCTGTCAGAGGGGTGGAGGTCAGCATTGAGGGTGATTTTGCGTTTGCCAAGCAAATTTGGATAAGTTATTTTGAGTTTTTGTTTTTATATATAGTGAGTATTCATTAAAATTGTATACCTTTACGTTTACATTTTTTTGCTTGAAAACTATTAATGTAAAATTTTGAAGATGAAAAAAATTAAAAAAAAAAAATACGTATTTAACGAATTTAAGTTGAAAGCTTTATATATATATAAACGAATTAAACAAATACGAAAATAATGTAAAGAAAACGGTCCTAGCTAAAAAATCGTACGTGTTGGTATAACTGTAAAAACGGGGGAAATATCCGGTTTTTTTATCCGTAACGATTGGTCATCCCTTGTTTTTAATGCAATATAAATATCCACTAACACTATTTCTACCACGGTCTTATGAATATGATAATAATTTTAATCGAAAATATCAATGGATGTTTTTTGACACCTTT